CGCGTAAGTACAGCTCCTTATGGGGGGTACGGGTTGGTGCGTACACTGTTCTTTACATAATTTCCTTTCACTGTTGCTCTTGACGCGTTGCTGTTTTTCACACTAGAGTGAAAATAATCTCTATTTAATCCACCTAGAGTTCAAAACTGTTTTTATGGTTTTGGCCATGCCCATCACACCCTATTACATTAAAATTCAAGTCAAATTACGCTTAATTCATGCTTTCGGTGCTCCCCATCGTTCCCTGTTCTTGCACTGACAACTTGACAGCAACTTGACAGCAACTTGCAGGGTTCATCTGGTACTGGTGTATCACAGCCGTAGCAGTGCATCTCATCGCTCTCAGCATGGCACCTCATTGCACCACTTTGCACCGTTTGCACCTCAATGCACCGCACTGCACCTCTTAACTCTCTCCCCTTCCCCTGTACCAACACAGACATCCACGATGGTGGCCCAGCAGGGCTCATCTGGTACTGGTGGATCACTGCAGTAGCAGTGCATCTCAGTACCGTCCACCTGATTGCACCGCACTGCACCTCTTTACTCTCTCTTACTCTCTCCCCTGTCCATCCCACCAACAGACAAGGCTTTCATGATGGCGGCCCAGCAGGGCTGATCTGGTACTGGTGGATCACAGCCGTTGCAGTGCACCTCATCGCTCTCAGCATGGCCGAAATCTCCTCCTCCTTCCCAGTAAGTGGAAGAGGACGGTTGAAGGTGGTGGAAACCGGTGTCGTCTAGAAAGCAATCTCCAGACCACATTCCCCCTCCCTTGACAGGGTATTACATCATGTAGTGGTTTATTATTATTATTATTATTATTATTATTATTATCATTATTATTATTATTATTATTATTATTATTAATAAGAATTCTAGTAATCTTAAATAACTCTGTCTCTTTCAGCTGCATGGCTGGCATCATCTCCTCAGTATAAAATATTGAATACCAGATAACTCCCTTTCCTTTCCATTACCTGATAACCCTCTCCTTTTAAAGCCCGCGGCCCAAATTGCGAGCCGCGCGCGTCAAGTTTTAAAAACTTGGCGAAGTTGAGTGTGCAAGGTTTGAAAACAAGCGCCCATGCAATTTGGGACTTTCCGAAACTGACCCAACCCCCAGGGCGAAATACCAGGGCAGGCTCGCTTTCGCGAAAAAAAAAAACCAAGAAAACGAAATCAGTATCACTCGTCAAACCCCAGACCAGACAAACCCCCTCGCGTCAACTTTTTAAAAGTTGTGCAATTTGGGCTGCTGGCTTTAATACCTGAAAATATCCCAGCAGCAGCAACATCTAGTTACGTGCGCCCCACCTTATCCCACCCTCGCCTTCTTCCTTCCAGCCTCTCCAGCCCTACCCATCTCCGCTCATCCACCTCAGTCCGTTATGCTCCCACTCCATCTCACTCTCCCAAACCTCTCCGCCTCCTTCTCTGTTCTTCCACTCCTCTCTTTCACTCTTTCCTTCCCACCCTTCCCCCCACCACCAACCTCCTTCTCCTTCCCCTTCTCCTCCCCCCCAATCCCTCCCCTCGCCCCACTCTCCCTTCACCCCCTTTTGAGGCGCCTCAAAACCCATTCTCCCCTCACCCCCCATGACCTACTTCCAGACAGCTGGCTCGCTCTATTTCTGGGCGGCAGCACTGGCAGGGCCGAAGTGGGGCCCGCTGGCCTCATTCATCACGGTGAGATGCGATCTGATTGGATTCACCGGAAACTGCAATTTGATTTGATTCAGTTCAGATACGGCTTCAAGTGTTGTTCTGAGCCGAAAGTATTAACTTGACTCATCTTGATCGTGCATTCATACCCGTGCCCCACTTCCACTCCATACCATAGCATCATGTCTTGCCTTGACCATTGACACCTACTCAAATTAATGATAAAATATGATACGATGCGATAGGATAGGATAGGATAAGATAAGATAAGGGTACGACATGACATGAATCGTCACCATCACTTGAACGATGTTTTGAAGTGCCCCCATGGTGTCACAACCCATAAGTTGACCTTTTTACACAACCCAGTGTAATGATCCTGCACCCATCAAACCCATCACCTTATTATATGCATGCTGACTGACTTGCTGACTGACATTGATGGAATTTGTTGGTTCTCACGATGTCATCACCTTACGAAGTTACCTTTAGCTGACCGCATTTTTTTTGGCTGACCAATCCCCCACATGACATGACCCCATCTCCATGCATGGATGCATGCATGTGTGTGTGTGTCCAGGCATGGATGGAGTTTGTAGGGCTGGCAGTGGGGCATGCCATGGTGTCATATTATGGCGTCACCATCCTGCAAGTGCTCATCCTCATCAGCACAGGTGGGTCTTTTTCCATGCATGCTTGCACTGGTTACCAACTAGCGTGCCCCACCACGTGCTCATCCTTATCAGCACAGGTGGGTGCTCTCCACATCATCACAGCTCTCCACATCATCACAGCTCTCCACATCATCACAGCTCTCCACATCATCACAGCTCTCCACATCATCACAGCTCTCCTCATCATCACAGCTCTCCTCATCATCACAGCTCTCCTCATCATCACAGCTCTCCTCATCATCACAGCTCTCCTCATCATCACAGCTCTCCTCATCATCACAGCTAAACGCACACGCACATGCACATTTGTATTATGGCCGTCACCCTTCCAATTCTGCAAGTGCCACGAGCTGCAGGGCATGCCATGCTGTCGTACTACTATGCCGCCACCCTCCTGCAAATGCTCATCCTTATCAGCACAAGTACTCGCACACATGCATTATTAAGCATGCCACCACGCCACCATAATGCTGTAACCACACCGAGGTGCACTACGAGGTGTTTGGCATCGCATGCGGGATGGTGTGGTGCTCTGCTTGTCTGCCGCGTCGTTGAATTGAATTCTCGTGCTCTCTGTGCTGCATGTGTGTGCTGCAGGCGGGGCGAACGGCGGTGGGTTCATGCTGGACCACTACGAGGTGTTTGGCATCGCATGCGGAGTGGTGCTCATATGCTGCCTCATCAACTGCTGCTCCATCCGCATCGTCTCATACGTCATGCTCTTCTCAGCATGCATCCAGGTCAGTCAGTCTCCTTTTCAGTCAGTCTCCTTTTCAGTCAGTCTCCTTTTCAGTCAGTCTCCTTCTCAATCAGTCTCCTTGTCAGTCAGTCTTCTCTTCTCTCATCACTCCTCCCATCCTGCTCCATCCGCGTCGTCTCATATGTCACGCCCTTCTCACAGCATGCATGCATCCAGGATAATACGCCTCTCACCCTTCCAAAGCACTCATTGTACACGTTAGGTGAATGTGAATCTCTCCCCTCTGCTGCTCCATCCGCATCGTCTCATACGTCACGCTCTTGTCTTGTCATCCTGCATCGTCTGATGCTCTTGTCAGCCTGCATCCAGGTCAGTTAGACGACAGGCTCTCCTACTCTCCTCTTTACCGTCTTACCTCCCCTCACTCTACTATTCCTCCATCCTCGGTCTCTGTCCCTCCACCCACCCACCCACCAGCGGGCCTGCTTCCTCTTCTCATCCTCACCACCAGCACTGCACTCTATCTTGTTCCTCCCGTTCTTCCCCCCCCCCCCCCCCCCCCCCCCCCCCCCTCCCTCCCCCCCAGGTGCTGGGAGCACTGGCGCTCATCGTCACGCTGCCCCTCGTCGCGCCCAAGCACCAGCCAGCCTCCATATCTGTGACTTGTTTGCCCCATTGTGTCTTCTCTTTCGCCCCCCCCTCCAGCTGCTGGGAGCACTGGCGCTCATCATCACGCTGCCCCTCGTCGCCCCCACCCTCTCACATCCACCTGCCCTCCCCCCCCCCCCCCCCCCCCCCCCCCCAACCGCCTCCTCCAAAACCCCCCCACCCCCCTCCCCCCCAGGTGCTGGGAGCACTGGCGCTCATCATCACGCTGCCCCTCGTCGCCCCCAAGCACCAGCCAGCCTCCTTCGTCTTTCAAGCCTTCTGGTCCAACGAGTCCCTGCCCACGCCGGTGAGTCCAACCAGCCACGAGTCCCTGCTCTCCTAGTCGCACCCACCCACCCACCACCCACCCACCCACCACACACACACCACCCACACACACACCACCCACCCACCCACCCACCCACTACCCACCCACCAGCCAGCCTCCTTCGTCTTTCAAGCCTTCTGGTCCAACGAGTCCCTGCCCACACCTGTGAGCCACTCTGCTCTACTCTGCTGCTCCACCACTCTGCACCACTCTGTTCCCTGCAAACCGTTCACGCTACTCCTAGTCGGCCCCACACAATACGCGCCCAGCAGCCAGCTCCCTTTATCTTCCAAACCTTCTTCTCAGTCGTCCCTGCCCACGCCGGTGAGTCAACCCAACCATTCCTTGACTCTTGTTTTGAGGGAAAACAAAGCTCGGAACCTTCTTGAGATGTCTTCAAAAGCGTCAAACCCCTTGTCTCCCAGTGCTCCCTCTACGGCTACGACTGTTTGGCGCGTCTAATTCAATCAATTTCACTCCTCTTCACCGCACCCAACCCCTCCCCCAGCCCTACTCCTTTGTGCTCTGCCTGCTCGTCTCACAGTACTCCCTCTACGGCTACGACTGCGCTGAATCAATCTGCCTCATTCACTCCTCCTCTCCCCAATTCCCCCTGCCGCCACCAACCCCCAGGCCTATTCCTTCCTCATCACTCTCCTCGTCTCACAGTACTCCCTCTACGGCTACGACTGCGTGGCGCATCTGATTGATTTCCTCCCCCCCACTCACCACACCACCTATCCACCATTCCCCTCCCCCTCTCATCCCCCCAGGCCTACTCCTTCGTGCTCTGCCTGCTCGTTTCCCGGTACTCCCTCTACGGCTACGACGGTGTGACGCATCTCTCAACCACACTCAACCACTCAACCCGTTTTTGAGTCGACTCAAAAACTCTCTCTACAGCTACGACGGTGTGACACATCTCTCAACCACACTCAACCACTCAACCCCTCTCCCCGCCTTCCCCGTTTCTCCTTTCCCCCAGGCCTACTCGTTTGTCCTCTGCCTCTTGGTCTCCCAGTACTCCCTCTACGGCTACGACGGTGTGGCGCATCTCTCAGAAGAGACAAAGAAGTCCGACCGCACGTCGCCGGCCGCGATAGTAGCCTCCCTCTCTACAGTCACGTTCGTGGCGTGGCTGCTGCTGGTGGTGTTCACGCTCTGCATTCAGAACGTGGATGATATATTCGCCACGGCGGTTGAAGGGGAGGTGCCGACCACGGTTACCAACGGCATGCAGCCGGTCATTCAAATTCTGTGGGATGCATTTCAAGCACGGTGAGTCAAATGCAGCAGCTGCTGCTGCCGCTGCTGCTGCTGCTGCTGCCGCCGCCGCCGCCGCCGCCGCCGCTGCTGCTGCTGCTGCTAGTGGTGTTCACGCTCTGCATTCACAAACGAGGATGATATCTTTGCCACTGCTGTTGACGGGGAGACGCCGACGACGGTCATGAACGGCATTCAGCCGGCGATTCAGATTCTGTGGGACGTGTTTTGAGTCGACTAAAAAAATTGCTGCTGCTGGTGGTGGTGTTCACGCTGTGTGCATGCAGCCGAATCTGTCGGACGGGTTTCAAGCACGGTGAGTGGGTGGGTGGAGTGGGTGGAGTGTGGGTTGAGTGAGATGCCTCACCGTGGCGCGGCGTGGTTGCTGGTGGTGGTTTTGAGACGTCTCAAAACAGCACTTTTATCGCAGCTGTTAAACGCTCTGCAATCAAAGCGTGGATGATCTATTTGAGTCGACTCAAGAGATGCCTCATCGTTGTGTGGCGTGGCGAGGAGGCGTGCTTGTTGCTGCTGCTGGTGTTAGCGTTAGCGCTCTGCATTCAAAACGTGGATGATATCTTTCCCACTGCTAAGGAAGGGCAGAATAGACACATCCTTCTGTGTTTTGTCTTCAGCAGCCTCTCTCCCTCTCCTCCACCACCACTACCCTCTTCCCCTCCCGTCCCCATCTCTCCCCACCAGTTACGGCTCTGTGGTGGGAGCGCAGATTTTCACAGGCACTTCGCGGATATACACATCCTAGGAACACCACTTCGTGGTGGGAGACATTACGTGGCAGCGGTTTCTTTAGCAAAGGAATTGATTTCCACGGGCATCATTTACACATCCTCTCCTTTGGCCTTCACCACCCTGAAAACCTTCCTCCTCCCCATTCCCTTCCTCTCTCCCCTTTCCTCTCTCGCCCCACCAGTTACGGCTCGGGTGTGGGAGCGCAGATATTCACGGGCATCATATACACGTCTTTCTTCTTTGGGACTGTTTCCGGGCAGCTAGGAGCGTCGCGAGTGGTGAGTTTGAGGAGAGGAGTTGAATGGTGAGTGTTGATTGGTGAGTGTTTATTGGTGAGTGTTGATTGGTGAGTGTTGATTGGTGAGTGTTGATTGGTGAGTGTTGATTGGTGAGTGTTGATTGGTGAGTGTTGATTGGTGAGTGTTGATTGGTGAGTGTTGATTGGTGAGTGTTGATTGGTGAGTGGTGATTGGTGAGTGGTGATTGGTGAGTGTTGATTGGTGAGTGGTGATTGGTGAGTGGTGATTGGTGAGTGGTGATTGATGAGTGTCGTGAGTAGTGGGACAGGTGGGGGCATCTCGAGTGGTGAGTCTTGTCTGAGAAGCAAATGAGGGAAGGTGAGTGTGAGTAGGAGAGGCGCTTGGACATTTACATGTCCCCTCTTTCTCCCAGATCCCTATACCGGACACCCTAAACCATCGAAATCGTCTTCCCCCCCCCCCTGCTCTACACCTCCACCACCATCTTCTTTGCCTCTTTTCCCCTTCCCCTCTTTCCCTCTCCCTTTTTTTACCCTCCCCCCTTTCGTGCTCTTCCCTTCCCCCCCAGGCCTACGCCCTGGCTCGAGATGGCGGTCTCCCCCTCTCCTTCCTCTGGCGCCGCCTCGCGCCCAACAAGGTCCCCGTGCTGGCGCTCCTCCTCTCCGTGGTCATCGGAATCATCTTCCTCCTGCCGCTGCTCTACACGTCCACCACCATCTTCTTTGCGATAGCATCCATCTCGAGCATCGGCTGGGTGTCCGCCTACTCCGTGCCAATCTTCTTCCGCCTCATTCAAAAGGAAGACCACTTCCAGCCCGGCCCCTTCTACATCCCCAACTACATTGGGGTCATCGGCGGGTAAGTTGCCCACATCCCCAAGCTGGTCATTCAGACTTGCCTCGAAGTAGGCCGGTGAAACTGATGCCTACATTCCAAATCACATCAGGTCACTGGCTGGTAAGTTGTTTTTGAGAATTCTCAAAAACACCCTGCAGCATCACATCAGGTCACTGGCTGGTAAGAAGAAGGTGTGTTTGTCGATTAAACCTGGCGGGATGTAGATCCTTCCTGCTGCCCCTTCTCTTTACATCCACCTCCCCATGAAAGTTCCCCATTTATTAGGCACTTCCTGGCGCTGGTGTGGTTGCTCTACACCATCATGATCTTCCTGCTGCAATACGACCTAGTGCCCCACCCAACCGCTTTGTGCCCCTCCCAACTCCCTGTACCCCCACACCCTCCCTTTTGTAGGGAAATTGTGCACTTCCTGGCGCTGGTGTAGGTGCTCTACACCATGATAGCCTTCCTGCTGCCCTACGCCTTCCCAGTCACGGTCGAGAATCTCAACTGGGCCCCAGTGGCCATCGCGGTGTGGGTCACCATCTCTTCCCTTTCCAACCCGTCCTTTTGGACCCCTCTCAACCACTTCGTGCCCCTCCCGTGTGCACCTGCCTCCCCCACACCCATTCCCCTGCAGGAAAATTGTGCATTTCCTGGCGCTGGTGTGGGTGCTCTACACCATGATAGTCTTCCTGCTGCCCTACGCCTTCCCGGTGACCGTGGAGAATCTCAACTGGGCGCCAGTGGCCATTGCAGCATGGATCGGCATCTTTGTCACATGGTGGATCGTGCACGCCCGCTTCTGGTTCAAGGGGCCGGTTCGCGAGATTGTTCCAATCACGGAGGAGAACGGCGGGGAGAAGGAGGCTGAGGGGAAGATGGAGTGATACAGTAGTACTGCTGCTGTTGTCAGTGCCCTTGTCCTGTGTGTTAGTTCAGAGTTGCAAATAGAATTTAGCAAGGGTGGTCATGTGCTTGTTTAATTTATTGACATGCTGCAGCCATGCTGTTACGGTAGGTATATATATCCCTCCCATGTGTGACGATCGGGTTGAGGACTGAACAGGTATAAGCTCAAAGAATACTGGGGTAGGTGAGACAGCCAAGACGTAAACACATACAAATATAGAATTAATACACTTGTTTCTCATCAGGTGTTGTAACAAGTGGTCATCATTCTTCCCCGCTACCTGCCCCCTAAGGGCGTGTCCAACTCGTACGTTTTCAGTTCAATTTGTGCGGTTGACCGCTTTGCGTCACGGTAAACAACGGTGAAAATCCAAAATCGCTTTGCACCTTCTGATATTGTTGTGCACCACGGTAGATGAACTGTATATGAACCAAAACGTACGAGTTGGACACGCCCTAAGGACCCTCTGGAGGGAAGCTGCCCCCTTTGTCTCCCGTCCTATCCCGTTCAGGGCCTGAGGGCGCGTGTGATTTTTGAAAACTGCTAAGTTCACATTCTTTAGACGATTTTGATTTCATGGCAAACTGTAGTCGATTTTCGGTGTTACCGAGGTTCGAGCTGCACGCTTTTTTTTTAACCAATCACAACAACACAACTTTGGTCGAATGTCGAGATTCGACCCTTTAGGTTACCCGGTTCTGGACACGTGGTTTTCTCTGACATCGCGACTATTTTCGCGTTTTCGGCAGGGGGACTTTGGTTTCGTACGTCTGAATAATTTCGCCAAACCATCCAGCGTGCCCAAAAGTGCACACGTTCGATTCAACGTGCTCGTGCACGTAAAAAAAAGTTGGTAACCATGCCAAGTTCGACCTGATTTCTGAACCTAGAAAAAAATCACACGCGCCCTGTGGTTTGGTTGGGTTGGGGGACCAAGCTGTTCCACCCAGCTGTACCGTACTGCTGCTGACTCTAGCTATTGTGGGCCAGTCCGAGCTGTCATTGATCTGTCCACACATCCATCCAGCCAATTCCTTCCTCCCTGGCGACAGGTTCCTCTCCACCCACACCCGTCTACTGTTGTTGGCTTTAGCAGCCACCGTGTCTGGCAAGGTCCCTTTCGCAGCAACCTGCCCCGCTGAGTCACTGACCTGCCAGCCAGCCCTATGGCTCAAAGTAATATCGATGAGTCGCGCAATTCTCGAAGCCAAATGTGCGGCTTGAGCGAACAAGCTGGCCAATGGCCGCGCGGCGAATTCCTCCTCCTTTCCCCCAATGCCCCACACACTCGCCCCCAAAACACCAACACCCCTACCCCAAACCCACCTTCCTCACATTTTTTGGCCTTCTGCATCCAAACGTTTTTTTTTTTTCCCAGCGATTCCATCCCAAACGTAAAATTTTGAATACATTTGTTTCCCCCAACATCCATATGTTTTCCCCTGACACCCGTATGTCTTTCCCCAACCATCCGCAAACATTCCTTCCCTCCTCCCACCTGCGGATGGAATGTGAATAGGCAGGTCACCGTCCTATGTGAACCAGCCCACCCATCCCCTCCTGACCTGCACGGTTTCATCCACAGAGCTACATAAAAGTTCATGCACCAATTTTCAGGCTGGTTCATACAAGAGCAGTACTGTAATAATCCCGTAGTGCACGTATCGTTCTCAGCCGCGTTCCCAGGAAAAGGCATAATCTTGCGACACGACATCAGTGCAAGCTGACAAGAGTTTCATTTTATCCTCCTTGACTTACTCGAATTCCAGGCCGATGTGCTTCATTATCGTGTGCGGAGCTTCATGATTTCCAAGCTTAGCACTTGCCACTGTGCGACGTGAGTCCGTAGCGCGACAGTTTATGCTTGACTTTAGAATCCAAATCTAATCCTTGTTTCTTTGTGAGAAACTCGGCGTTCGTGGCCGCTTAGTTTGACTTCTCTCGACGTCTAAGTCGTATAATGTCTCATTTTCAAAAGCGTCTCAGAATACGAATCTCCGGAATGTGAATCACGGTGTACAGGGTAACCATTTCTGACTAAGCTTTTTCTCGGAGAGCCTCCGCAGAGTCCGCGGCGTCGCGTACTTAGTAGGTCGAGCTGTCTCGCTTCAAACGTTGACGCTGTGCTGGCGACAATGGTCTCAATGACATGCGACGAGATAGAAGCGTCGCCCGGCGACGGTCGCGGAGCGACGAAACAGTGCCACTACGACACGTGCGATCACTACGCGACAGATTCCGCCATCGGCAACGGCCGTCACGCTGTGGCAGACGTGGTCCACGACGCCAAACCTTCTCCGAAGCTTCTGCCGCGTGGCGAGGAGATGAAGCTGTACACGGAGGCGTCCGCGTTTGAAGGCGCCGCGGTAGTGGCGATGATTCAGCGGCACGACGAGGAGGTGGGAGCGGAGCAGAAGATCCTTCAGATAACCATGGAGGATGGGATAACGCTCTCCGTCGAGCTAGATCCCGCTGAGAAACGGCTGAACGAGTTGGGATACCGACAGGAGCTCCGACGCTCCCTGGTGAGTTCTCGGCTCTCCCTATCACTCAAAGTAGAACGGAGCAGAAAATACTTCAGATTACCATGAAGGACTGAATCACGCCGTGGAGCTAGATCCCGTTGAGAGGCGCCTGAAGAGCTCGGATACCGACAGGAGCACCTAGAACACAGTTGCGCTCATAGCAACGCTACCCTAGACACCATAGGACGCGGTTGCGCTCATCTTTCATGTCCCATCTCTCATCCCTCATCGCTCATCGCTCATCGCTCATCCCTCATCGCTCGTCCCTCATCGCTCATCGCTCATCGCTCATCGCTTATCTATCATCTGTCTTCGTTCATATCTCATCTCCCATCTCTCATCTCTCAATCTCTCATCACTCTCTCTCATCGCTCATCCATCATCTTTCATCCCTCTCGTTCATGTCTCATCTCTCAACTTTCATCTCCCATCCCTCATCGCTCATCGCTCATCGCTCATCCCTCATCTCTCATTGCATGCGCGTGCCCCCCATGTCTCTCCCTCCTCCCGCATCACATTCCCCTGGCCCCATGTCTCCCACACCCCAGAGCTTCCCCGGCCTCAACGGAATAAGTGTGTCATTTACGGTTGTCTTGTCCCCATCACCCATTTCTATCTTCTCAGCGCATGTTTTTGCACTCTCCCTTTCCTCAACTCCCCATTTCCCCTCCAGCGCTTTCTTGGCCCTCACGCAGTGGGAGTGTCTTTCATGACTATCTTGAGAAACCCATCACCGCAACTCCCTTGCCTCTTCACCTGCGCGCGCCCCTCATGTCCCCCATCTCAACCTCCCTCCATCTCTCCCCCCCCCAGCACTTTCTCGGCCTCTACGCAGTGGGCGTGTCTTTCATGACTGTCTTCGCTGGCTTCGTCCCCACCTACGCGTACGTCCCCTCCCCTCCCCTCCCCTCGCCACCCTTGTTGGAGTCGCTGTTGACTAGTCTAAAAGCGGCCTCCAATGCCTCTACGTAGTGGGAGTGTCTTTCATGGATGTCTTTGCTGGATTCGTACCCACCTACGCGTACGTTCCCCTCCCCCCTGCCCAACCTTTCGTGCCCCATCCATCCATCCATCCATGCATGCATGTGTGTACGTCTCCACCTACTAGGTGACTTTTGAGTCGACTAAAAAGTCCCCCCTGCCCACCCTTTCTTGCCCCATCCATGCATGCATGTGTGTACGTCCCACCTACTCGTACGTCCCTTTCCCTCCCCATTTGGTAGGAACAAGAATCGGCGCCCAGTTTGGGTTCTTACGGTACTGGTGGGTCACAGCCCTCTCTCTCCCTCTTCTTTTCCTCCGCCCCCTGCTGCAGCCCGGGGTTCATAAACAGCGGCCCAGCAGGGCTCATCTGGTACTGGTGGATCACAGCCCTCTTCGTCCCCCCTCTCCCCCTTGTCTATCCCATCCACTCACTCCCTCCCGTCCCCTGCCGCGACCCCTCTCCCTCCCTCTTTGCAGCCAGGGCTTCATCAACGGCGGACCAGCAAGGCTCATCTGGTACTGGTGGATCACAGCCCTTGCGATGCATCTCATTGCACCGCAGTGTACCTCTTTACTCTCCTCCCACCCACTGTCAGACAAGGGTTCATCAATGGCGGACCAGCAGGGCTCATCTGGTACTGGTGGATCACAGCCTTCTTTGTCCAACTTATTGGCCTCTCCCTGGCCGAGATAGCATCCTCGTTTCCTGTAAGAATGCACTCTGTACTGCCTTGTTCACTGCCACTGTTACTGCATATAACCAGCCGTCTTTGTCCACCTTATAGGCCTCCCCGTGGCCGAGATTGCATCCTCATTTCCTGTAAGGATACACCCTGTGAAGCGTTGTTGTCAGTCAGTGGTGACACACATCACAACAGCCCTCTTTGTCCACCTTATAGGCCTCTCCATGGCCGAGATAGCATCCTCGTTTCCGGTGAGAATACCCTCTGCGTTGCAAAGCTCTCTGCCATTATTACCACACATTCATCCCAGCCTTCTTTTTCCATCTTACAGGCAGCTCCATGTCGGAGATAACATCCTCGTTTACACAAAAAGGGTTAATGTGGCCCCGTTTCGTGTGGTGACACTCCTACGGTCCTACCACGCTGCACCGCACTTAACCGCACTCCACAGCAACCACTGCTTTCACTGCTTAACCGTTCCCTTCTTTTGCCATTAACCATAGTGGCCGCCAGTCACTCACCAGACAAGATGACCTAGGTAACAATATCTCCTTGCAATCGCCTGCCTTTGATCCCTCTCCCTTCTCTACACTCCATTTCCTCCCTCCCTACCCCCTTTGCCACTGCCTTCCAGACAGCTGGCTCGCTCTATTTCTGGGCGGCGGCACTGGCAGGGCCGAAGTGGGGCCCACTGGCCTCATTCATCACGGTGAGAATGAGATGTGATGAGATGTGATCTGATTCGATTCACAATGAGAGGTTATCTAATTACCCTAATGTTCCTTCAGGGGTGGATGCAGTTTCTGGGCCTGGCTGCGTGCAAATGCAGTGCCTCGCACGTGCCTCTGTGTTATTATTATTATTATTATTATTATTATTACTATTATTATTATTATTATTATTATTGATGCTGCTTGCTCGTTCTCCCCACAACAGGGGTGGATGGAGTTTCTGGGATTGGCTGTGTGTGGGGCCAACGTCTCTTATGGTGGCTCCGTTATTCTGCAAGTGCTCATCCTCATCTCCACTGGTACACTCGCTCGCATTTAATGGATCTAACACAGAAAAAAATAATAAATAATAAAAGTTGCATTGATGAGATGAATATACACGGTTGGTTGGAGTCCCTAAAGTTCACATGCGCATGCATAGTTGTATCGAATAGAGCAAAGAGTTTCTGGTACGGGGGTCATGTGTGTGTGCATCCATACTTGGGCTCACAACGGTTCACATCCATTGGTACATGCATGTCCCATGCTGTGTCATGCCATGCCATGCCATGCCATGCCATGCCATACCATACCATACCATACCATACCATACCATACCATACCATACCATACCATACCATACCATACCATACCATACCATGCCATGCCATGCCATGCCATGCCATGCCATCCCATGCCATGCCATGCCATGCCATGCCATGCCATACCATGCCATACCATGCCATACCATACCATACCATACCATACCATACCATACCATACCATACCATACCATACCATACCATACCATACCATACCGTACCATACCTTGCTAGCAAACGCCATCCCATGCCATGCCATCCCTGCCACCCAATCACCAGGCGGTGCTGACGGGGGTGGGTACCTGCTGAGCAAGTACGCTGCCTCTGCCATTACATGCCATGCCATCCTGCCTTCCTTTTCCCTGCAACCCAACCAACAGGCGGTGCTGAAGGGGGTGGGTACCTTCTCAGCAAGTACGCTGTCTTTGCCATCGCATGCGGCTTTGTGCTTATCATTCCAACCCACCATATGGCATCTCTCCTCTCCCCATCCCATGCCATTCCTTTCATGCAACCTTTCCAACAGGCGGAGCTGAAGGGGGTGGGTACCTGCTTAGCAAGTACGCTGTCTTTGCCATCGCATGCGGCTTTGTGCTTATCTGCTTCCTCATCAACTGCTTATCAGTGCGCTCTGTAGCAACGGTCATGGTCGCTTCTTCTGCGATTCAGGTGAATCCTCAGATGGGTGTCAGGTGAATCCTGTTTTGTTTTTCAGGTTATTACTAAACTCCCACATCCCTATCATGCCATCATGATATCACTCCTTCATACTATCATGCTGCCCTTGTTGCCATGCTGCGTTGCCCTTCCTCTCTCAGCTTGTAGCAACAGTCACTGTCGCACCAGCTTTCTCATGGCCGTCTCTCACCCTTTACTCGCCCTTGTCTCGACGTTGTGTCGCCCCTATCTCACCATTCTCATAGCAGAAGTGACTGCCTCTATCTCGCATTCATCTCCCCCCCTCCTCCTTGTGTCTCAGATCGCAGCAGCAGTGGTGCTCATCGTCATGCTGCCTCTAGTGGCCCCTACGCATGAGCCGGCGTCCTGGGTGTTTGGTGACTTTGGCAACAACAGGGACATCACACTCACGCCCAGCAATGTGAGCTTGGGGGTTTGGCAACGTTGGTTTAGGCCACACTACATGAAAATCGTTTTTTTCTCTCAGAGATTTGACTTTTCCGTTGTCACCACCCTCCTCTCCCTCCTCTCGCCGCTCTCAGGCCCACTCCTTCCTCTGCTCTCTCCTTGTCCCTCAATACTCCCTTTTGAGGCGCCTCCATTTTTTATTGTTTCCGTTGTCACCACTCGCCTCTCCCTCCTTTTGTCCCTCCCAGGTCTATTCCTCCTCATCACTCTCCTTGTCTCTCAGTACTCCCTCTACGGTTACGACTCTGTGTCTTGGGCTGCTAACCAGTCCCCCTTCCCTCCTCCCCTTCCCTCTTACTCTCCCTGCTCTTGCCCCTCCCAGGCCTACTCATTCCTCATCACTCTCCTCGTCTCACAGTACTCCCTCTACGGCTACGACTGTGCTGAATCAATCTGCCTCATTCACTCCTTCTCTCCACAATTCCCCCTGCCACCACCAACCCCCAGGCGTACTCCTTCCTCATCACTCTCCTCGTCTCGCAGTACTCCCTCTACGGCTACGACTGTGTGGCGCATCTCGCAGAAGAGACAAAAAAGTCCGACCGGACGGCGCCGCTCGCAATCATGTCGTCGCTGACTACAGTGACCGTGCTGGCGTGGCTGCTGGTGGTGGTGCTGACGTGGAGCATCCAGGATCCAGCTCATCTGTTTGCGGCAGAGAGCGCGACAGGTGGCATGCAACCAGTGGTGCAGATCATGTGGGACGTGTTTTACTCTCGGTAAGAGGGGAGACATGTCATATTGGAGGGGTGAACAGGAGAGTACGGGGAGAAGGGGGAGGGGGGTGACAGTGGCGCAGCTCGTCTGTGCAGCTCGTCTGTGCAGCTCTTCTGTGCAGCTCGTCTGTGCACATACTCTCTCGCATGCAACCAGTAGTGCAGATCATGTGGGGCGTGTTTCACGCTCGGTAAGAACGGGTTTAGAGGTGCGTTGAAAGTACGGGTTTAGAGGTTTAGAGGTGCCCGAAAACTCTTATATGTTTGGTAGGAACGGGTTTTGAGGCGCTTTAAAACACATCCCACCCACATTATCAGCACCATTGAAATAAAAACTCTTCTGATCTCAGTGGTGCAGGATAATGTGGGACGTGTTATGAAAGGGTGCTTTTCACAGCCTTAATTCTTCTCCATATTGAGGAGTCTGAAAACCTCACCTCATTTCCTTAGATGTTCTCGCTTCTATTCCCTTTGATGCTCCCTGTTCGCAAGTCTCAACTGTCATCGTCTGCACCTCCTTCACCCCCTGCTGCTCCTCCTCAAAATCCATAACTCTGTTCACCTACTCACCTACTTCTCTCCTCACCTACTTCTCTCTCCTCTCCTCCCCGCGCCCTCTGTCGTCCCAGCAGCTACGGCTCTGGGTTGGGAGCGCAGGTCTTCACAGTCGTCATCTGCATCTCCTTTTTCGGAGCCACTCTCTCATGCCAGCTCGGGGCATCTCGTGTGGTGAGTGGCCTTCGTGCTGCTGTGCGGTGCTGTGCGCTGATGTGCGGTGCTGTGCGACTCTGTTTCTTTGGAGCCACTCTCTCATGCCAGCTCGGGGCATCGCGTGTGGTGAATGGGCTGAGAGTGTTGCTGTGTGGTGCAGCAAGCAGCTGGTGCGGGATTGAGGGTTCTCAAACGCGACTCTGATTCTTCAGAGCCACTCTCATGCGAGCTAGAGGCATCCTCCTACTCCTCCTGCTCGCTCTCCCCCACGCTCTTCTTCAACCCCAATTTCCTGCCCAATTCCAAACACTCCCACACGCCTACGCCCTGGCTAGGGATGGCGGCCTGCCCTTCTCCTCGCTCTGGCGACGCGTGGCACCCAACCGAGTGCCAGTGTGGGCTCTCACACTCTCTGTACTCGTCGGGTTGCTCGTCTTACTCCCCGTGCTCGCCTCCTCCACGCTCTTCTTCGCCCTCGCTTCCATGTCCACCATTGCTCGGATCCTTCTCCCCTCTCCCCCCCACCCTTCCACCCTTCCCCACCACCCCTCCGCCCCTACTCCCACAGGCGTACGCCCTGGCTAGGGATGGCGGCCTGCCCTTCTCCTCGCTCTGGCGACGCCTGGCATCGAACCGTGTTCCAGTATGGGCATTGACACTCTCCGTGCTGGTTGGATTGCTCTTCCTGCTGCCCGTGCTCGCCTCCTCCACGCTCTTCTTTGCCCTCGCTTCCATCTCCACCATCGCTTGGATCTCCGCCTACTCCGTCCCCATCCTCTTCCGCACCCTGCAAGATGAGAAGCACTTTCCGCCCGGCCCGTTCTACCTGCCCAACTACATCGGTTTCACCGCCGGGTAGGTGAACAGAAATCGGGTCAGGGAGGGAGGGAGGGGGGGTGGTGTGAGGGAGGATAAGAGGAGCAAATGAGAAAAGGCTGAGAAAAGGTGAGGCCCACAAGGTAGTGTGCATGAATGTTTGGTATGACACGCATGCCTTATTTCGATTGCCCCCCGTTTCACCTCTCCTACTTGCACTACGTTAGTGAGAATCAATTCCTTGTACCATGTCGCATCCACCAACTGACATCCCTTTCTGCAATTGATTTATAACAGGAAAATGGTCCACGTGGTAGCGCTGCTATGGGTGCTCTACACCCTAGTGGTCTTCAACCTCCCGACGATGTTTCCTATCACCGTAGAGAATTTCAACTGGGCGCCAGTGGCCATTGCTGTGTGGATGAAGATGTTTATTGCATGGTGGCTGTTGCATGCTAGGTTTTGGTTCAAAGGTCCCGTTAGAGAATTTGAGCCTATTGAGGAAAGCTCGGTAAGGAACGAAGGCAGCAAGGAGTTTTAATGTTCGCTTCAAATGTTGCTTATATGTTCTACATGCACCAACCAGTTTGTAGCACAGTATTTTCTTCCTTGTAAGTGCAACCGAGCTACACCAGTACACTGTAATCCTTGATACAACGTCCACCTCGGGATTGTCATTTGACGAGGGCATGTGAATTGAACTACTCCCGCGCTGCGCGCGTTTAGCAGTCCGTCTGTCAGCGGATGATTTTTGACAGAATGCTTGATTTCGCGTCGTCTGACTGGTCCGCTTGGCGGGACGCCCGTATCGCGTACAGCAGCGCAGTGGAGTCGCTCGCGAAGCCTAAGCTCGGCGCGCTCGACGCGTTCTACTGAGACGAGCTGCCGCGGCGATTGCGGCAGCGACAGCGCGGTGGCGAAAGCGGCGACCCGAAACCCGGGAATCTTGAAACCGGAGATACGAAAGCTGTAAATCTTGAAGCCGGAGATCTTAAAGCCGAGGATGTCGAACCGGGAGATACCAAAAGCGGGAGTAAATGCGCGAATTCCAAGGGCGGGCCGATCGAATCTAGGGCTACCAGAAGTAGGACCAGGAAACGCGAAGATGCTAAGTGCGAGGTCACGAAGGTCCAGAAGGTCACGAAGGAAGGGGATGGTGGAGGTGGTGGAGCTTACGTCAGCAAGGAGGAGCTCGTGTCGGTGATGGAGTGGAAACTGACACGTGGCAAGTGGCGGTAATTTCCTTAACGTCATTCCCTCCCCGACCATCACCGACCCCGTACTCCCCTCTTCGTCTCTTCCGATCACCCGCACACCATCGTTTCACCACCATCGTTACCTGAAATCTGAATTTTGCAACCCAAGACTCCTATCACAAGACTCCCGCAATTTTCAACCCAAACCTCATAATCTGCTATCCCCTTTTCTTCAGCTTCCGTCCTCCCCTTTCAAACCCCCTTCGCCCCAACTTTCCCCTTTTCCTTCTCCATTCCCTTTCCCCTATCAGCCCTCGTCTCCAGGACTTCATTTATCAGCTCGACCCCGATGCAGCTCAAAACCGCATGATTTTGGTGTTGACTTAAGCCCCTCTCCCCTTTTCCTTCTCCAGGACTTCATCAAGCACCTCGACCCCAATGCAGCTCAAACCGCATCATCTTTGTGTTGACTTGAAAGCTCTTCCCGGGCCTTCTCGCTTTCCTTGCTCTTGTCCTTCTCCCTTCTCCCTTCTCCCTTCTCCCTTGGCCCATCAGCCCTCCTCTCCTGGACTTCATTAAGAATCTCAACCCCAATGCAGTTCAAACCGCATGATTTCGGTGTTACTTCAAATCCCCTCACGCCCCCCTCCCTCGTTCCATCTCCCTTCTTTCTCCTATTTTTTCTTCCCTCCTTCCCCCTTCCTTCCTTCCTTCCTTCCTTCCTCCATCAGCCCTCGTCTCCTGGATTTTATAAAGCAGCTCGACCCTATTGCAGTCCAAACCGCATCATCTTTGTGTTGACTTGAAAGCTCTTCCCAGTCCCTCCCGCTTTCCTTATCCCTGTCCTTCTCCCTTCGCCCATCAGCCCTCGTCTCCTCGATTTCATCAAGCAGCTCGACCCCAGTGCAGTCCAAACCGCATCATTCTTGAGTTGACGTAAAGCCCCTCTTTCTTCTCCCCTTCTTCCCCCTTCCTTCTCCCTTCCCCCATCAGCCCTCGTCTCTTGGATTTCGTTAAGCAGCTCGACCCCAAGGCAGTCCAAACCGCATCATCCCGAGCCTTTGCTGCTCTGGCGCCATACCACACCCCTTCCACGCCTGGAGGTTCGGAATCAGGTTCGGGAGCTCATTCCGAAGCAGATGTTGAAGCGAGCCTGAAGGCAGCAGCAACGGAGCTGTCATCACTCAAGGGTGTTGGAGCAGCAACAGCGTCTGCAGTGCTGGCTGCGTTTGCCCCTGAAGTAGCCCCCTTCATGTCAGATGAGGTGAGCGAGCAGAGATCTGTTTTGAAGCGAGTCTGAAGGCAGCAGTAACCGAGCTCAAGGGCATTGGAGCAGCAACAACACTAAAGGGCATTGGAGCAGCAACAACACTCAAGGGCATTGGAGCAGCAACAACACTCAAGGGCATTGGAGCAGCAACAACACTCAAGGGCATTGGAGCAGCAACAACACTGAAGTAGCTCCGTTCATGTCAGACGAGGTGAGCAGCAAATTTTCTCAGGAGCGAGATACTGTGAAGTACTTAAACGAGTCTATGTTCCTTTCTGTGTCGCTGCCTCTTCTGCAACTGTCTCGACCATCTTCTTTATCCATTTCAACATTTAGTTTATTCCCTTGTGCACTACGATGCCCTTCTTCCCGGCAGTCTCTTTGTGCTCCCTCCCCTCATCCTTGCCTCTCATCTCATCTGCCTCCCTGCTGCAGTGATCCAGGCCATGATTGCGGCTTTGGGGGACTGCATGGACTATGCGCTTCGCCGCTACCTCATGAGCATTCTGATGCCCCTCCTCCCAACAGTCTCTTGATGCTCCCTCCCTTCATCCTCGTCTCTCTTCTCATCTGCCTCCCTGCTGCGGTGATCCAGGCCATGGTTGCGGCTTTGGGGGACAGCAAGGACTGCTCGCCACGCCGCTAAGTATAATACTTTTGAGACGTCTCGAAAGCCATGCTCCCTCCCCTCATCCTGTCACTCATCTCATCTCCCTGCCGTGGTGATCCAGGCCATGGTTGCAGCGTTGGGGGACTGCAAGGACTACTCGCTTCACCACACCTCATGCCTTCCTTCTGACAGTCTCTTTGTGCTCCCTCCCCTTTCTCTTTGTCCTTGTCTCTCATCTCATCTCATCTCCCTGCCGTGGTGATCCAGGCCATGGTTGCAGCGTTGGGGGACAGCAAGGACTATTCGCTTCGCCGCTACCTCGTGTTTGCCAAGGCCATGCGGGAAAAGGCATCGGTAAGCAGAGTCTTTTTTCTTGCCTTCTATCAGCAACTCGTCTTTTATGTCAGTTCGAAAGCATCTGTGAGCTGGGGAACATTTTGAAATCTCGGTCAGAAATGCGTCGTGTGTGTGAATTCTCGCTTTGCTTGTACCTGTGGGCATTCCTGCTTGCTTACTTTGGCAAGAGTTGGCAGGTGTTAATGTGGGCACATTTCAACACGAGCACATTTCGTTGCTGCTTTGCAAGGGTGTCCCTCGTCCCTTCAATTTGAATCGCCGAATGAATCTCTTTCTCCTCCCTTGTTTCCTTGACAGGAATTGAATCTCCTCGAAGACAAAACCGCACAGGCAGGAGCTGCAGACTCTTCTTTGGTTGGAGCAGAAGGGCAACCAGAGAAGAACTGTGCTCGTTCCATGCCACCTGAAGAGGAGGATTCATTCGTTAAGTTCACAGCTTCCGATGTAGAGAAGGCACTTTGGTCAGCCGCTGTGTCAGGATTGCAAGCAAGGGTCACCGTGGCAGAGAGTGGTAAAATAAAAGAAATGGCGCCTGAGGTTGCTTCGAGAGCAAAAAGAAAACGCTGAATCATTACAATCAGCAGCTGCCACTCTGTTAGAAAATGGCATTTGTACAAGAAAGAATGCCCATCAAGGATGGCTTTGAAAGCTTGTTAATTTGGTTGAACGATTTTTTTATAGTAGTAAACATTGAAGTGCAAATAAAGAACTTCAGCTGGCTTATATTCTGCTCGGACATTGCTCAGTACTGTATATATCCCGCCAAAACTGAGTCGGGCAGATACCGTTCAGTGTTGGCTCCTTTTCCCCACTAGAGTGCGAAAGCGGTTGTCAGTCAGGTCAGGAGTAGAGGCAAGCCCTAGCGACTGTAATTCGCGAGCTTTCTCCTCTCGCCATTCATGAAGGCACTTCTTATGAGGCCGGGAGTGAAGTTTTTGAGATCTCTAGCTAGCTAAGTCGGCTGTTTTTAGATCAGCTTAGCTGTGGCAGTTTATCGATGGAGTCAATGGCGCGACCCGCAATGTGGTCGTCATCTGCTAGTGTCGTTCAAACGTTATTGCCAGAGGATATAACTCGGTCTTCTAGGAGCACCATTGCAAGTGCAGATGCCTTCTCGCATTCTCCCTTAAACAGTTATCAGACCTATTCTTCGGTAAGACTTTAATCTTAAGATGAAGTTTACTCACCTTGCTCTCGAGGCTGTTTATTCGAGCATGTGTCCTCACGTCGTTCTCATGTCTGCATACGCTTGCAGTCAAGACCAGGAAACGTGCGACAGCAGTCGTTGACTCGGCCACGGACACCATTGCGAAGCGCTTTGACACCAGGTTTTTACGGAATTTCAGGTTTTAGGTCTAACCCATTGCCACGGCATGGCGCCTGCCGGGCTTTTACGGGTATGAATTTGCTCACTTGCCATTATTTCAGTGGTCTGCGTTTTGCGGCTTCAGCAATCTTATGTATCCTGCTTCCGTGATTCCTTATCTTTGCAGTAAAAGCTACCTATTATGATGAAGATGACGAGGATCTATTTGAGTTAACTTTCCTTCAACGCTTGCAGCGGGCATGGCGGATAATCTTTCCACCAAGAAACCGTCCTCCGAGGTTAGTCACACTACCGAGATCGCTGGCTGTAGAAGTTAGTGAAGGCAAATCGGTGGTCAATTCACCTGTTTTCTCGGTCTTTCCATGGTTGTTCCATTGGGTTGAATCATTCTTGGTCAAGCATCTGATTACTCTTCCTTTCAACGAATTTTGCAGCAACGCCGAGATTGCCAAAGAGAGGCTTCGGCTTGTTCTGTACACAGATCGCGGGGAAGTAAGTCCTGAAGTGAGAAGGCGTTTGCGCCGCAAGATTATTGATGCCATCTCAGCATACGTGGAGATAGAATCAGAAGAGGACGTGCAGCTGAGTGTGTCAGCTGACCCTGACATTGGGACTGTGTATTCCATCACCATTCCTGTGCGGAGAGTGAAGCCGGAATATCAAGAGTACTGGAGTGAGTCTGGATTCAGGGATCGGTTCTATGAGGAGATTCTGAGGGAACGTGGCCCAAACTCTGCACTTACTAAGCTGGAAATAAAGCGGGAGCCTGTGTCAGATGATGATAGCAGAGCAGGGTCTGCAGATTCGTGAACAGGAATGTTACTTACACAGCTTTACCTTTTGGTTCTAGTCTCTTAGGTTCAGGTGTTCACTAATGGGTAATTATTTTGCCATTGCAGTTGGTGCTTTCATGTGATCGAGGTGTACAGTTGGTGAGTCTGGATGGTATCCATGATCTGTTGTTCATAGGGTTGTCTATTTTATGAACACTTGTACTCGACATCATATCAGGTTGTGACCGTAAAGCGTTTCGAGCCAGTAAAGGACCTGCGGCTTGGCGCTCACCCCGCCGCATCTTTCGCTACCACCAGGTTCTTTCCCTGACTGCGGGGACACCATGTACAGTAACGGCTCCTCCCTATTTGCCCCCAACCCATCCCCTTCCTGGGGCGGCAACAGAACAGACTGCGCTCGGGCGCCGCCGCTCCAATTTGAAGGGGCGCTTGACTGACGGCGGATCACTGAACAATCCCCCTTCCCGCTCTCTTCCTCAACTGCAATAGGTTGAGCCGAAGCCAAGGCAAGCACAAGGATCGACAGCCAAAATGAGGAGGGATCGACGGATGGGACGGCCAAGTGCATAACTTTGAGAAGGGATGGTGGTGCGGGTTGAACTGGCCATTCCCATACCAGTGTGTTCCTACCTAACAAATCAACCCTTAGTCCAAGCCCCCCTATCTTGTGTAGGGGAACCCTAATGTTCCACAGTTCAACTCCACCCATCCATTCTGCCGTCGTAAGAATATACTTTGACAGAGTACCGCCAACCGTTTGCTCCTCCTGCCTTATCTCGTGCTAATAATTTGAGCCCGAAGAGCGAGCTGTCACTTGAATAGCTGAAGAAAACATGGATAGCTGAATAGAAAAATGAGCGCATGCTTAGTGGGGATTCAAGACTAGGGTTTCTAATCACTTAATTGTCTCCAGGCGATGTCATCACCGAATCTCCAGGCGATGACCCCACGTAAATGTAGCACCTGTGAATTTTTGCAAGCGTCATCACCACCTGTAGGAAACAACCTGCGATGATGGCGACCACGGCGCGCACATCGCCTCGGACGACCTCGACTCCTCCTGCTCCGCGGCTTGTGACGTTTTGAGACGTCTCAAAGCAAGCGCCATCGCCATCTGTACCCAACTTGCGGCAACGGCGACGATGGCATGCGCATCTCCTCGGACTAGGACGCCTCCTCCTGCTCCAAGGCTTGCGACTTTTCGCCTCGCTAAGTTTAGCATCATGACGTTTTGCCTCGCGACACGACGGCGACTCCGGCGCAACGCACTGACACCTCCTGTCGACGCAACGCGATTTTCCTCCTGCAGCTTAACGTGCACGCACCTGCTGCTCCTCCTGCTCTTGCTGCTGTTTGCAGCACGTGGACTTACCGCTCGTGCACCACCACGCTTTCTCGATTTGTCACAATCGTTTGCGTTAGACGATTCTACACAACCAGCCTTCCTTAGCTCCGGAAATCCCCTTCGTTTTCAACCAGAATCGATTGATCTCGATAATAGTAGCCCATCTTCCCCGACAGATTCTCAAAGCGGTGACCCGACAGCACTGTTGATACCGCCTGCCGTGTTGTCTAGACAGATTCTCAGACGACGCAGGGGTTCGAAACCGCGACCTTTCGAGACCAGGAGAGGAAATGCGGATGGAGCAACGGATTTGCGTGCAGACGGTGGCGCGAGGAGCAGCAGGATTCTGAAAGCAGACGCGATTCACTTGCGGATGGCAAGAGAGAGTAAGGTCTGCCCCTTCCAACCAGCAACGCGGGTTATATGTGTCAGCGACATGGTTGGAATAGTCGTGTTGTGTCGTCAAGGTAGTCATCGTGCCTTTCGAGTCCACTGAAAAGTAATTTCTGAACAGTACCATTGCCCTACGATGGTCACCATGCCAAGCTGCAATTAAAGCCCGTACTTGGATTTACCTTTTTTTTCTCTGTGTTCCGCATGCTTTGTTACTGTTCCCTTCCTCCATCGCATCTAAGATTTCATTCCATGTCCTCAACCCATCTTCCTCAACCCATCTTCCTCCTGCCCCTGTCACTTTCCCCCTTCCCTCCACCTTTCAAATCTCTTCTCCCTCCTCTCTCCTTCCGTGTTGTTCTTGCTGAAGGCAGAAGGTGACAGCCGCATGAACAACAACAGCAGCAATGGGAACGGGAACAGCAGCAGCAACGGCAACAGCAGCGGCAATGGCAATGGGAACAGCAGCAGCAGCAGCAGTGAGAAGAGCAATGAATCCTGGATTGCCAGCAGTAGCGACGTGAGTAACAGTGATGGAAACACCACTGCCAGCACAAGCAACAGCAGCAATAGCACTGTTAGCACAAGCAGCACCACCGGCAGCAGCAATAACAGTGACAGCACAACCAGCAGCAGTAACAACAGCAACAACAGCACCACCAACAACAATGACAGCAATATCACCAACACCACCACCAGCAGCAGCAGCAGCACAAGTGACAGCACCAACAGCCACAGCAACGCCAGCACCACCACCACAAAGGCCAGCGAGCCCTCCTCTCTCTCCCCCACCAGTCGTGCCATCCTCATATCAGCCCTCACCCTCTCCCTCTCTCTCGCCCTCATCACCGCCCTAGCCGCCTCCACCATGGCTCTCCTCCTCTACCGCCGCCTCCCGCGCAATCCCCACACGCCACGTGGCGGATTCTCAGTGGTCGCAGCACACGGTTCGAGTGACGGTGGGGAGAGTGGGAGTGAGAGCATCAGCAACAGCAATAGCTGCAGCATTGGGAGTGGGAGCAGCCGGGGGGTTAGTGGCCGGGGTGGATTACCCAGCCCGTTTGGGGGTGGTTTACCCAGTCCTTTTGGGGGTAGAAGAGAGAAGAGGAGGCCGCTTGGGGAGCAGTTGGAGGAGGGTGAGGGGGGAGGCTGGGGGGACGATGTGGAATTTCAAGCAGATATTGCTGCTGCTGGCACTGGCGCTGGCGCTGTTGGTACCAGCGCTGTTGCTGCTGCTGCTGCTCGTCCTGGTGCTACTGTTGCTACTGCTGCTGGTAATGGTGGTGCTGCTGGTGCTGCAGCTGCCGGCGGCAATGGTGGGGGGCGTGCAGGGGGTGCGGTGGCGGATAGTGAGGGGGAGGAGGCGTCGTTTGACATTCAGAAGGTGGTGGAGTTTACCCTTGCGGACCTCGTTGCTGCCACTGATGGCTTTGCTGACAAGAACCACCTGGGGCAGGGCAGCTACGGCAATGTGAGTGGTGCTGTGGGATGGCATGGTATGGCAGTGATTTGAGTTGACTCAAACCATTCAGAAGGTGGTGGAGTCTCCTCTTGCTGACCTGGTTGCCACCACTGATGGCTTTGCAGACAAGAACCACCTGGGGTGGTGGAGTCTCCTCTTGCAGGGCAGCTACGGCAATATGTGTGGCGGTTTGTTGTGGCATGACGAGTGGCATGGTGCTTTCACAGACAGAAACTGGCAAGGGTAGTCATGTCAATGTGAGTGGTGAATCAGGTCAGGTCTCCGTTGGGTCGGGTCGGGTCGGGTCGGGACGGGACGGATCGAGATGGGACAGGAAGGGTGGATGGGTGGGTGGGTGGGTGGGTGGGTGGGTGGGTGGGTGGGTGGGTGGGTGGGTGAGCGAGTGATGCTGTGGGATGGTGGCATGGCATGACACGGACTTGTGATTCTTAAGATGGGTTATAAAGTTGGGTCTACATGACTTCAAATTCAATCTCAAGAGAGAGGCATACTCTATAGCTACGTGTAGAGAGGGTTTTTTTGAGACGTCTCAAAAACTCAAGAGAGGCATACTCTATAGCTTTTTGCATGTGTAACGCTTCTGCTGCGTTCCCCCCTCACCTCCTTCCTTGCCCGCTTCCTTACCCGCTTCCTTGCCCGCTTCCTTGCCCGCTTCCTTGCCCGCTTCCTTGCCCGCTTCCTTGCCCGCTTCCTTGCCCGCTTCCTTGCCCGCTTCCTTGCACCAATTGCGTTATGCCAGGTGTACCGAGGGAGGCTCAAGTCGGGGGAGGTGGTGGCGGTGAAACGAGCCAAGGCGGAGAGGAGGCAAGACATGCGCAAGTTCAAAAAGGAGGTGCGATGAGATTCATTGCGGTGGAAAGAGATGGAATGCAATGAGAATGGGTGAAGCTGAGGAAGTGAGATGAACTGAACCAAGGCCGCAAGCAAGACATTCAAGAACTCAGGAGCAGCTGCTGGTATACAAGTTTGTAAAAGGAAGAAAACCTCTTCTTCCTCTCATCCCCTCTCCCTCCCCCTCTCTCCCCCCTCCTGCCGTCTGTCAGGTGATGCTGCTGTCCCGGGCGCGCCACAAGCATTTGGTGCAGCTGCTGGGGTATTGCAGGGAGGAGCAGGAGCAACTGCTGGTATACGAGTTCATAGGCGGGGGGACCCTCTCTCACAACTTGAATGCCCCCTGGCGAGCCAGACAAAACAAGCCGCCCCTCAACTGGACCGAGCGGCTGCTGGTGGCGGCGGGGACTGCGCGCGCGCTGGCTTACCTGCATGATGACGTCAGCATGCCATTCATCCACCGGGATGTGAAGGTGGGAGATTTGATTTGATTGGGTTGGATGAGATCGGATGGGATGTGATGGGATTGAATTGGGTCAGATCAGATTGGATTGAGTGGCATGTTCACGCCATTTGGTGGCAAAGGAATTTCCCATACACCGCAACCCTTCCCATAACCCATGTTTTCTTTCCCCACCACTCTTCACCATCCTGAACCGCACTTCACCACGCGTCATCGTTCTGCACAGCCCAGCAACATCCTCTTGGATTGGCACGCGGCGGCAATCCCCTCCTCTTTTCCCTCATCTCTCATCCTATCCATGCTTTCCCCTCCCACCACCCGTCGCCACTCTTCACCACCCTTCACCGCTTTGCACAGCCCGGCAACATCCTGTTGGATCGGCACGTGGTGGCGAAGCTGGCAGACTTCGGGACGTCGAGGGCCGTGGACACATCGTCATACTCTGCCACCATTCAAGGCACTGCGGTGAGTGGCACTGCAGTGAGTGGCACTGCAGTGAGTGGCACTGCAGTGAGTGGCACTGCAGTGAGTGGCACTGCAGTGAGTGGCACTGCAGTGAGTGGCACTGCAGTGAGTGGCACTGCAGTGAGTGGCACTGCAGTGAGTGGCACTGCAGTGAGTGGCACTGCGGTGAGTGCATGCAACACACACAAGCACGTCCAGAGCCGTGGACACTTGATCATACTCTGCAACCATCCAGGGCACTGCGGTTAGTGGCACTGCGGTTAGTGGCACTGCGGTTAGTGGCACTGCGGTTAGTGGCACTGCGGTTAGTGGCACTGCGGTTAGTGGCACTGCGGTTAGTGGCACTGCGGTGAGTGGCACTGCGGTGAGTGGCACTGCGGTGAGTGGCACTGCAGTGAGTGGTGGCGCATGTTGTGTGTTTTACGTGCATGCAACGCACACAAGCACGTCGAGAGCCGTGGACACGTCATCATACTCCGTGGCTATTCAGGGCACTGCAATGAGCAGTGAAAGTGGCCGAGGGGCATAAGGGTGCTGTGTGTTGCAGACAAGGGCTGTGGTGCAGCTCATGCTCATGCTCCTTACTGCCCACCCTCTCTCACAAATCTGCAGGGTTACTGTGACCTGGATTACCTTAAGACAGGTACCGTAGCGCATAGACGTGTACAGCCTTGGCATCATGCTGCCTTCTTGGTCTCGCGCCACACTCCCCTTGTTCTCCCCACACCACTCGCAGGGCTGTTGCGACCTGAATTACCTCAAGGCAGGGCAGCTGACGAAGCGCATAGACAGCCTGGCAGTACAGCTTTGGCATCGTGCTCTTGAAGGTCACCCCTTTTGGTCTGTCCTTTGTTTCCCCTTGCTCTCCCACCTCCCACCCCACCTGTAGGGCCACTGCCACCCTGAATTCTTGAAAATGGGGCAGCCATCAAAGTGCATAGATGTGTACAGCCTTGGTACACATCTTGCCACCCCGAATTCTTGCTTCTGGAGCTCAACCGCTTGCTCTGCCCTTGGTCCCCTCTCCATCTCCCCTTCAAATCCACATGTTCTCCCACCGCCGAAACCACTCGCAGGGCTACTGTGACCCCGACTATCTCGAATCGGGGCAGCCATCGAAGCGCATAGGCTGTACAGCTTTGGGATTGTGCTGCTGGAGCTCATCCCCTTTGCCTCCCCTCGTTCTCCCACCCCCCACACCAACTCGCAGGGCTACTGTGACCCTGACTACCTCAAGTCGGGGCAGCCATCGAAGCGCATAGACGTGTACAGCTTTGGGATTGTGCTGCTGGAGCTCATCACTGGCAAGTCTCCCAGAGGCATCTCCAGGCCGTACCGCTTCCATGTGAGTGCGAGCAGATTTTTTTTAGTGGACTCAGAAGTCACCATGTGCATAGTTTTGGGATTGTGCTGCTGGAGCTCATCACTGGCAAATCGCCTAGAGGCATCTCCAGGCCGTACCGCTTCCATGTGAGTGGGAGCGCATGTGTTGGAGCTGACAGAAGAATTGAAACCTGTGGTTGAAACATTGTGCTATTGGAGCTCATCACTGGCAAGTCTCCCAGAGGCATCTCCCGACCATACCGCTTCCATGTGAGTGCGTTTTTTTAGTAAACTCTGAACTTGTCTCACTTGTTCATAGAGCACATCACTGGCAGAGGCATCTCCAGGCCCTAGCGCTTCCATGTGAGTGGGAACCCGTTTTTGTTTTACAAAAACAAGGAACGAACGAAAAAGGAAGAAAAAAGGAAAGAAAGAATCGGTTACTTTTGAAACTCGTAAAACATCATTGCCAACCTTCCAGAGTCGTTTCTAGGCTCCACCGCTTCCAAGTGAGTGGGCACAACTTTTCTATCAATAAACCTTTTCTTGCTTTTCTCTTTTTTGGCGCAGCTTTTCTCGTGTTCATGCTCTCGCACATAGGAATTGGACTCTATGTGTGCCATCTGATCTGAATGTTTGAATCCATAACCGGATAAACTTTCTCGGTTCTCGAGCATGCACACTGGTTTTGAAGACTCTTTGCCACTTCTGCTAAACTAACACATGAAGTCTCATTCCTGCAGACTCTCCCCCGTGTACTCCCTCACTCGTTTCCCTGCAAGCACCCCCTCCCCCTCTTTTTTCCGCGCCACCACTTTCCTCAGGTTCAAGATCTGCTGGATAAGAAGGGGCTTGCAGGGATAGTTGACCAATCCATGGGCATTTACCCTGAAAAAGAGGTTACCAGCGTGCTCAGCCTGGCCTTCAGGTGCACAGACATCAAGAACCCCGCCGGCCGACCTTCCATGAACCGAGTGGTAACTGAGTTGGAATCAGTGCTAGAGCCTGACCGAGTGCTCCCGGTTACCACATCGGCGGTAACACGGCAAATACACCACCAACATGATATAAGCTTATCACAAGGAGTTGCGGACGAGAGGGTTCCAGAGGCGCACAATGTAAAAGTGCAACATATTGGGGAGTCGAATAACGAGGCAGATATGGAGGAGATTAGAGGAGAGGAACAGCAAGGTCATGAAAGTATCAGGGAGGGGAGTGCTATAGGAAAGGGTGGAAGCATGGAGCTCTCATTCGATTGGAATCTGCAAGGAGGCAGCGGTGGGTTGGGACGGGATCGGATGAACACTCCCTTGACGAGGGATCCGGATAGGCCAAGCAGGTTTTCATTTCGAGGCCAAGTATTTGAAGATTCTGATAGGGAGTTTGATGAGAGCGGGGTACTTAGCTATGGGCCAATAAATCCTGCTTAGATGTATAGCTGGTTCGTTTAGTTTTATTTTCCTATGTGATCGTATTATATCAAGTGGCTCCACTTCTATATCACGAATATGTTACGTGGAAGAGCCTTCGCGGAGCGGAGCCATTCTGCTCAGCGGAACCATTCCCTTCCGAAGGGTTGTTGGGGTTTGGTCGGTGGTGTAGGGGCTTGAGGGGAAAACTCCCCCCCCGACGGATTCGACTCGACCCAGGGCTGGGGAGGCATGCAGGCAGGGGACGCAGTACACCGTGGGAAAGGGAGGCAGGCATCCAGCCGAGGGAGGGAGTTCACAGCCCTTCACTGACTAGCGGTGAGTGTGAGAGGACTGGCCCGCATCCATGCTAGGGGGTGAGTTGGGTACGGGAGCTGGTGGCGAGGGATGTTCGCGAAAAGACGAATCTGATGCAATGTGACAAACTTGGTGGACAGGTTCCAGCGCAGTCCGTCGTGGCTGACGGTCAGGTTGACAGCAGGTTTTGTTCCGTTTCCTTCAACGCCAATAGCTGAAAATTCCGTTGGACGGACTCAAACGGTTGCAGTCGAATATAGTCGGATTCCGTCTTATTTCGCTGGGAACTAAGCGTTTGTCGTTCATACGGGTATGGCGCATTCATTCAACTTGGACCCTCCACCACACTACAAGGCACTTTATCTCACGAAAAACAGCAGTACCGTGCAGAACGTAGTGCTACCAAAAAACCTGACAGCCGCCCATGGGATCTCTTCTGCAAGCAGAAAGACCACAGAATGTTTTGTATCGCTGCAGCCATTGCCCATACTATTTTGTTGCGACTAGCCCATCGTGCAGATTAGGAACTTGAAAGTAGAGACGCTCTGCATTGCTGTGGTTTATTTTCAATGCCGTAGGCCGTCAAGCATGACAATGCCTGAGAGGGCCGTGGTACTAGGTGTTAAGTAGAAGTCTTTCTCGTTACCTAGTTGTTGGTATTTAACGTAGACTACCAGGGCCGATTTCGTGCCTCTCCGCGTTTCTCTCATCCCTCGCATTTCCCGTATTTAACCCTGTTTTCTTGCCAGTCTCTTCCACTGGCTAACCATGAGGTCACAACGCCCCTTCATTCCCGCTCCCTTGCTTCTTCCGCTCTTGCTTCTCGCAGCAGCAGCAACAACCGCTCCTACCTCCTTATTCGTTTCTGCTGACGGATCTCCTTCAGACGCTAACCAGAATCCGTCAGAAAACTTCGAGTTCCCCAACTTTAGCGCGGATGACGAGGAACTCATTATGGCGTACGAAAGGAAGTTCGCAGCCAGACCCGGCGAGGTGGAGGTGTCGTACGAGCAAGCGTATCATCTGGGAGAGAAACTGAGAGCTCGCGGCGTGACTGCAGCGGATGTGCTACAAAGTGAAGATGATGTTTTGGCGGGAAAGGTTCAAGAGGAGGGAAGCGAGCAGACGGATTCCGTCAATGACGACGATAAGCGTCAAGGTAACTTATGTCTGCTGTTACTTCACCTGCCGCATATCCCGCGTATTCCTCTCTAGTTCCCACTCATGACGGTTTTGAGAGATCCAGAGACGTGTTTCGGCTTCCCGCGTTTCTGCTTCCGTGTCTTCATCGTTCCACCGATATCAAAATCTTTTCTTTTAGGTTCCTCAAACATATACCCACTTTCTTGTTTTCGTGTCTACTCGTTCCACCAATATTGGCTCGCTGATTCTCTTTCTTTGATTCATTCCTTTCCCTTCAAATCTCTCAGCAGTCCATCTGTTTCCCATTCCTAGCTTGATACCACCTTCTCTCCCTGCATTCCGGTTTTTGAGTCGACTCAAAAACATTCCTAATACCACCTTCTCTCCCCGCATTCCCCGTGCTTTTCCGTTTCCTTCCTTCCACTTTTTCCGCCAGCAGAGTCTCCGCGGAGATCTCTCTCCGCAACTTCTGCCTCCGCCTCTGCTTCCGCTTCCGCTTCCCCAGATCAGTCCGCGCTCGTGGCCCAAACCATCGCGCGCCTTCGCTCGCTCGGCTTCCGAACCTTCGCGAGCGCTCTGGAGAAAACGGACGTTCTCTCCACACTTCCCCCCACCGTTTCGCGCGCAGGAGGGTTCTCCCTCCTCGTCCCCTCGGACCGCGCGTTCCTTAATCTCCCGCAAGCCGTTCAGAAGCTACTAAGAGGCCCGGACGCCAAAGCCGTACTTAAGAAACTCCTTCTCTACCACATCTTCCAGCCGCGTATCAATTTTAACTACTTCCTGAAGCTCAGAGGGCGGCGCGTGAAGACGCTGCTTACAGACCAGACCCTGACCGTTGGATTCGCGCGCTCCGGCTTCCCTGCAGCGCCGACAGTCGCGGGAGGGGAGTCTCTTTCGTTTTCTCCCTCCGGCGGCGGGAAGCGGGTTGCGGGTAGCGCGGGCACCGTTGTAATTGTAAAGGACATTGCTTATAACGGGCTCGCGATCTGCCAGGCTGTCAGCGCGGTGCTCGTTCCACCGTTGGATCTCCTCTCGCCTCCCGACGCATCAACCTCCTCCTCCTCCTCCTCCTCCACCTCCACCACTAAGACCAAGAACGCGCCTCCGGTTTCCAAAACCAAGTCGCCCGCCAACGGCGGCAGCGGAGGGAAGATTCGTCCGCCGTCATCTGAGAGAAACTTCGTCGAATCAGCTTCCGCGTTCGGCGGCAGAATTGCAGCCGCGGCAGGCGCGGGGGAGCGCGGAAAGGCAGCGCCGGCGGCCGTGCCGGCCGCTAAGGCCGTGCCGAGTCCCGTCATCCGGCCGTCTTCTATAACGCTCACGCCGCAGCAGCAGGTACTCTATTGGCTCTCGCGGCACGGGCTCGGCCGCACAGCCGCGAATCTCGCGCAGTCCGGTGTGCTGGATCTCGCGACAACGAGTAACCCGGTTACCGTTCTCGCGCCGACGCAGCTCGCGTATCGCTTCCTCCCCTGGACGGTCCGGCAGCTGTTCTTTACCGCGTCGGGGGAACAGGTTTCGCCGCGGCTGATGAAATATCACGTTATAACGGAGCGGCTTACAGTGAAGCAGCTGCGATCGGCCGGGAATAACAAATATCCGACCTTGTTGGATGAACACCCGGTAGATACGAAAGTAGGCTCGACATTTGTCCGTTTCTACCCCGAGCCTCCGGACTACGCCGCCGCGACCATCATCCCCGGGTCGTCCTTCAGCAACGGCATCGCGACCGTCCACGTCAGCAGCTCCGTGCTCATCCCGCCGTACGATCTCCTCTCCATCCCCGAGCCTCCCACCCTCGCGCCCGTCCCCCCGCCCCTCGGACCCGCACCCGGCCCCGGCCCCGCCCCCGCAGCAGCGGGGATCCAAGCGCTAGATATGGTGGGGGACCTAGAGGCGGAAGGGGGGAGTTTCTCGGCGGAGGCTAAACTCAGGGCTTCCGCCCCCGTTCCCCCTCCCCCTCGCCCTCCGCTTCCCCCGCCGCCGCCCACGCCCACGGGCGGGTTCGTCCCGAAGCGGCAGCTGATCTCGTTTGACGACGCGCGCGGGGAGCCGTATAGCGCCGCGCCTCCCCCCGTGGCGGAGCCTTACAGCGCTGCGCCTCCCCCCATGGCCGTGGACTTGGCACAGGAAGGGGAGGGGGAAGGGGAGGGGGAACGTGAAGCGGACGAGGTGGATGAAGTTCGGGAAGCGGCGCTAGAGACAGAAGCGGGCGCTGAGGAAAGGGGAGTGTTTGGTGAACCTGGTTCCGACTCAGGTTCTTCCTCAGATGCTGCTTCAGGTGCTTTTTCAGGTGCCAGGCGTGTTCTTCCGGAGCTGTCACTCAGCACGCGCCAGCAGACCATAGATGAGCTAGCAAAGCGGGGCCTCACTGTACTCGCTAAGAACCTCGCCGCTACAAGGATACTACACTCCCTCTCCGGCCCCGCTACACTCCTCGCGCCCACCAACCTAGCCTTCTGGACTCTCCCTTTACCAATCAAAGCCCTCCTCATGGGCCCCAAGGCGGACTTAGTTCTTAAGAATCTCGTGGCCTATCACATCCTGCCACGTGGACGCGTGTCGTCGAAGCAGTTTGATGAAGGGATAGCAGCGGCGGGGATCGAGGAGTATGAGATATTCGACACACTGCTGGAGGGGAGGAGCGTGAAGGCAGAGCACGTGGGGAAGGCCCTCGCCTTCTCGCCGCTCCCCATGGTGCCCCTGCTGAGCCGAGTGGCTCGTGTTGTTGCCTCGGATATCAATACCGGAGCTGCTGCTGCTAACGAAGCTGCTACTAGCGGGGATTCTGCTAGCGCGGATGGGATCACGATTCACGTGATCAACCGGGTGCTCATTCCGCCGGTCAAGGTGCTGCTGGCGCCCTTCCATTCCTCTTCCTCCTCCTCCTCCGCCTCCTCCTCCCCTGCAGGAGCAGCAGAGGCAGCAGCGGTTAACCCCTTCAGTGCAGCCTATGCTGCTTCGGCCCAATCCATGATCTTACCAATGAGTGAGTACATGTTTGTAGCTGTTTTTCTTTATTGAGTCAAAATCCTTCCCCATGATCTTTATTGACTTTCTTCAGTGCCAGACTCGAAAGTCACGAGTCTGGCACTCAGGTAGTTTCTATCCACTCAAACGCCTTTCCTTACCTGTGTTCTCAACCCCAATGAGTGAGTCACGTGTCTGGTGTTGTCGCTTGTAAACTGTTCTCCCTTGCTGGTTTTATCACCTGTTTCTATTTGCTATTCGTTTTCCCTTTTCCTATGCCATCCTCTCTGTTAGTGTTAGCCCTCAATCTCACACTTTGTATTTTGTACTTCCTATGTCCTAGCGTAGTGTAGTTTGCACTTTGTGTTTGGTTGGGTGTACACCCACATCCCAACCAAACCCAAATGTAATCTCCAAGCAATCTCCAACCCACCAATTGGAGATTGCCTTGGGATTACCCCCAATCCCTAGAGATTGTCCCCGATTCCCCTCCCCACTCATCCTGGATGTACTTAAAGAGCTCCGAGCTCATTACTAGTGTATGGATTCTAAGCTCTAGTTCTGACACTCTCTCCACCTTACCCTCCATCATCCCCTTTCCATCTGCCTATGACCCTCCCCCCGTTCTCCCCGTTTCCCCGCTTTCCAGCCGAGTCAACAGACGCCCCTCCCCCACCTCCCCCGCCTCCCCCGGCCCCCCTCCACCTTTCGCGGCGGACGACGCCATAAGGACCCGCCTGCGCCTCTTCGGGTGCTTCAAGACGGCCGACATGATCAAACGCTCCCCACCACTGTTTTCTCCTCCTCTCCCTCCCTCCCCTCTTCTCCCTTCTGCCCCTCCCCACTCCCCCCTTCCCTCATACACCCCCCATTCCCTGCCCTCACCCCCTTCCAGCTGAATCAACCGACGCCCCTCCCCCGCCGCCCTCGCCGCCCCCTTCGCCACCCCCCCCCCCCGCGGCGGACGACACGATAATGAGCCGCCTGCGCCTCTTCGGATGCTCCAAGACGGCCGACATGATCGTACGCTCCGGCTTCATCGCGCTCCTCACCACTGCCACCTCCCCCAACGTCACCTTCTTCGCTCCCACCGACGACGCTCACACCCGCATCCCTGCACCCGTCAAACAACTGATAACAGACAACGGGCCTGCGGCCGAGACGCTTCTCCTGAGCTACCAGGGCGTTTTCGGGATTCAGACTTATGCTGAGCTGACCAACAAATCAACTGGGTCGCTCCCGACGCTGCTGACGGATATGTCTGTTACGCTGACTAAAACCCGCTGCCCGTACTTCAAGAGGTTTTACCGGGAGCCGGGGTGTAAGGAGGAGGTTTCCCTGTTTTCGGAGCCGCCGATGAGCTACCCTGCTGTGAAGATTGTTCGGCCGAATATTATTTACATTCAGGAGCCGCGGAACATCACAAGCTCGGGGCTGAATGTCACGATAATTGTGCAGACGCTCGTTCATATCACGTCGGATTTCTTTATTCCGGATATGTCGCTGCTAGTTCCTGGTGCTGTGCCTCCTGCTCCTCCTCCGGACTCCCCTCCTCCTCCTCCTCCTCCCGCCCCTCCACCACCACCACCAACAGAGTGATTTAGAACAGTGTTGCTGCAAGGATTCAGCAGAATTCATTAATATCTCGTCGAATATTTCTACTCTGGATATGGCGCTGCTTGTTCCTGGTGCTGTTCCTCCTGTGTTTCCTACCGACTCCCCTCCTCCTCCTCTCCTCCATTCCCTCCTTCACCCCTTACCTCTGCTCCTCCTCCCCCTTCCCCCCCTCCACCATCACCACCACCAGCTGAGTAAGAAAAATAAATGTGGTCCGAATTGGAAAGAAACTCTCGTCTCGGGCAACTTTGTGTTTCACGAGGGTGTATGTTGCGTTGGTGTTGCAGTGAGGAGGATGCCTCAATCTAGCGTAATATACCGTACGAATATGTGATGGTGTCATTGGATATGCGGATTGTACTGTACCTGACGTTGTGGCAGTGAGGAGAGCATGTGTAGTCAGATGCTGCTGTATTTGTATGGGAATAGAAATTTCATGATATGGCAACCAACAATGAGTTGATAATTCAGCTGGTGTGCGGAGTCCATACGCTGAAGTATGCAGGACACAGCCGACTAAACATTATTGAGGTTTCTGAAACGGGTTCGATTGCCAAACCTCCCTTGCTTAACGAGCCTGGGCCTGGTTAATGACCTGCGACTCGGCAAGGCAGGGCCAAACTTGAAAACCAAGCCTAGCCAATTTGCGGCCCCATTTCCCGGGGCTGGATTGAACAAGCCCTGAACCAAACCAGCATTGCAGTAACCAAAATGTGAGACCCGCCTTTTTTTTTTCACTACCTGGTTTTCCCCTGGTCGGCTATGGTGTTAGCAAATCATCCAAACCCAATACCCGAGTTTCATGTTTCATCATGCCCAAACAGTTCCTAGTAGCCAAGCTCATCCACACAGTTCTGACCAAGCCAGCATGGCTCTCTCGAACCCACTGTGCAACCAGAGGCCGTACCTCATCCCGAACCTCTTTCTCCAGGTACGGAGCCTCGCTCAACTGTTTCTCCATACCAAACAACCTGATTCCTGGTGTATAGGTCCCATCAGTGTGGTTAGGCGTGCATGTGTGAAAGCAATAGCGAGTCGTCACCTTCCACTGGTTCAGTACGGTTTTGAACGATCCTTACATGGAAATCATTCATTTAGAGCGGTTACGGCGCTCAGACACGCTTGCGAGATGTTGCACCTTACCGTTAACCGTTTACCACTTCTCTCCAAAATCTCACTGTCTGTCATGACTAAATGGGAGCTTGCCAGGCTGCCATGTCTCACTGAACACTTTAGTAGGGTTTCCTACAGCTCGTCGACCTGTGCGTCTCGGAGCGTCTAACATCAGGGTCTTACCAGACTGTACGCAACTTGGCCCCGAAAATTAAGGGTGCGGAAAATCGAGAAGCGTTTCGTTCAGCTTAGACTGTGCAGGAGGGAAATGGCGGCAGCAACGTACCGACTAAGCGTTAGGTAGTCTCTGCTCAATCAGGCACAAATTTCTCAGTGATAGAACCACTCGAGTTCTAAATTATTATAGATAAACTCTCGAATCCAGTTGATTATTTTTTCCCCAGTCGTCCACATTTTCAAAAACCATTCACCCCTCTATAGCTGCCACTTGTGACGCCGTCTGATTGCCTCTCCGCAAATCGCGGCCACAGCCGACCATGAAGGCGTTAGCATGGGCGGAGGCTCGGAACGCCTGGGCGACAACAATGTGCGCGGAATAGGGAACCCATCTGCCAACGAGACGGCGACACGTGGCAGCAGCCTCCGTGATTCCCGGAAAGCACACTCCGGTAGCGGCGAATCACCCAGGACAATCTTCGGGGGAGGTGGAGAGGGATCGTCGACGAGTCGCACGAGTAACGACTCCGACAGCCACGCGTCGTCCAGCCAGCATTCTACCTTCGAGCCGCCTCTAAGACCGTCGACGAGTCGCACGAGCAACGATTTCAACAGCCACGTGTCGTCACACCAGCATTCCCAGATGGTGCGGGAAGAGCGGCGGGGAAGAACACGAGACGATGGCTGGGATGACGACAGCGGCGGCGGCAGCAGAACAGGAAACGGCTCTTTGCCTCGCGATCGCTCTCGCGGCAGCAGCAGCGAGGAGATGCCGCCGTGCCGGCCGTCGACTTCCGGCGGCGTTCGCCGGCCGAGGCGGCCGGAGGACGGCGGCGCGGCGATGAGTCCGCGAAGCGGCAGCAGCAGCCGCGTTCCGGATTGGCAGGCGTCGTCGTCGTCCTCGTCTGGTGCTCCGCCGCAACGGCCAGCGACTAGCGGCGGCCGGCGAATGCCTTCCCGTCCAGGTCCGTCAACTGACGATGACGTAGACGGAGTCAGCGGGGCGAGCGGAGAGTGGCCGCCACGGAGGCTAGTCGGAAGCGCGAGTACGAAAGGCGGAGGGGGAGGGTACGCGGATGAGGCGCCGGGTTTGCCGCACTCGGGTTCTTATTCCACCGGGTATCGCGGGCAGGGTTCGCCGCCGCGTCGCGCGTTCCACAAGTCGCAGTCCGCGAAGATAAATCTCTCGAACTCCGGAGCCGCGGTGCGCGAAGCGGACCGCGACCGCGATAGGGACAGGGACAGGGACCGAGATAGAGGGGGGCATAGGGACCGAGATCGGGAAATGCGAGACCGCGCAAGCAGCTTTAGGGACCGGGACAGAGTTAGGTACTTGGCGGATGGCGACGCGGAGGGCGACTTACCCCTAATGTCGCCTTCTAAGGAGCGCGCCGTGAGTCGCTGGGTGGAAGATTCTCTTTGCGAATTTGAAGGCGGGGAGCTGGGGGATGGTATAGATTCCCCGGGGAGAGATTCGTCTTCTTCGTCCTCCCGCCGCCGCGCGTCCGGCTCTCGGCGCGACGAGTACGGCGGCGCGGACGGGGATTACGAGGAGAGATCGAGCGGCAGCGGAAGGCGCGGTCCGCGCGAGCGGGACGGGGGAGGGGGGTATGAAGGCTCCCCGCGCACGCCCCCTCCGCGGTCGGGGTCCCGCGGCGGGGGGCGGAACCCGGACGAGGCGGTCACTCCGGGGAGGTCGCACCTCCGGCCGGTGGGGGAGGCGCATGACGGCGCGGGGTACTCCTCGGGGCGCCCGCCCTCCCGCGGAGGGCCGGGGAGCCTTGACCCCTCGCTGGGCGGGCGCGCGAAGAGTTTCGGGAGGCGGAGCTCGGCGGAAGGCGGAGCGGAGTTGCGCCCGCGCACGCCGTCCGGAGCGGAGCTGCTCGCGCGGCCGGGGACGGCGGAGGGGCGGCGCCCGCGGACGGCGGACGTAAACTCCGCGTATGGGCGCCCGGGCGTCCCGCGGAGCATGTCCACCGCGGAAGCCGCCCTCGCGGGACCGGGGGGATCCCTGAAAGAGCGCGACCGGGGGGAGGGCGGAAGGATGCGCTCAGTCCCCCGCTCCGCCTCCGAAGTGATGCCTGAGGACTTAGGCGGAGGCGGAGGGGGCGGGGGAGGCGGGCGCAGGGCACCCCTCAGATCCCCCAGTGGTAGTCTGCGGTCTAACTCGGTATCTAAAGACTATGAGGATGAAAGGGGTTGGAGCGGGGGTGGCGGGGGGAATGGTAACCCGGACAGGCCGTACACTTCGCATGGGTATGGGCGGCGGAGGGACGAGTACGGGGGAGACGAGAGGGGCGGCGGTGGGAGATACGACGGGGATGAGGAGCATAGGCGGCTAGCAATGGAGCTTGAACGAGAGAGAGAGGAGAGGCGGAAGCTACAGGAAGAGTTGAAGAGAATGGAAAGAGAGGTTAAGGAGAAGGAAGAGAGGAAGCGGACGGATAAGGAGAGGAGGACGATTGAGAAGGAGAGATTAGTTGCTGACGTGGCGGCTTTAAAGCTGCCCGTGGACCGGATTGCAGTGGAAGAAAAGAAACCTGCCCGGAGAGGAATCTTCTCGGTGTTTTCCAGCCGCCCGAAAACGCCAGATGTGGACAAAGCGGCGGGGGCGGCGCAGGGGAACACTGTAGCAGTGGTGCCGCAACCCTCCCCAGGGGCTAGGCCAGTCACACCGGAAGGGTTACAAGCTAGGCTGACCAGAAAAAACAGAGAGGTGATTCGGGCAGCGAGAAAAGAAGCGGCAGCAGCGGGAGGGGGCGGAGGGGGAGGAGGAGGCGGAGGGGGAGGGGGCGGGGGAGGGAGCGCGGACCAGGGGGGAGGGGTGAATATATTGAAGCGGCCTTTAGCGGATGTGAAGGAGGCTTATAAGCTGGATAAAAATGAGCTGGGGCGAGGGCGGTTTGGGGTGATTCGGGGGTGCGTGTGCCGCGTTTCAGGGGAGCGATTCGCATGCAAGTCGATCAGCAAAGGCATGCTGCAGGTATGTCTATGGAGTGTTGTTGGAGGAAGGGAATGTTGTTTTGTTTGAATGCGTGGACGTGACCAGGGGGTGCGTGTGCCTCGCATCAGGGGAAAGGTTTGCATGCAAGTCGATTAGCAAAAGCATGCTCTGGGTATGTGGAGTGTTGGGGGGAAGGGAATGCCGTTTGAGTGGGTGCATTGCTGTGTGCCGCGTGTGCATGGGTGTGCATGGGTGTGCATAGGTGTGATAGAGGGTGTGTGTGCCGTGCGTCAGGGGAAAGTTTCACATGCAAATTTATTTACAGGAGAATGGTGCAGGTATGCGGAGTGGTGGGGGGAGGGGAGAAATGTCGTTTTGAGTCAACGCGTGGGTGGGTGTGTGTTTGTGCATGTATGGGCGTGATCATGGGGTGTATGTATGTGCTGAGTGTTAGGGGACAGTTTCGCATGGAGATTTTTTAGCAAGGGCGTGATGCAGGTATGTTGAGTGTTGGGGAAGGGGGAAAAAGGGGAGGGGGAGCGGGACAGGAAGAGGAGAGAGGGAGGGAATGGGGGTAGGGAGAGCAGGAGAAAGGGTGGGAGGTGGGCTAGGGGGAGGGGATGGGGTGTACATGGTGAGGAGGGGCACATTGCAACTGTGCATGCAAGGGACTCGTGCAGGTGTGTGGATTGTGGGGAGGGGGAAAGGCGGAGAGGGGGATGGGGTGAGGGGACGAGGGGGGGTGGGGGGAAGAGGGGGAGGGGGAGAGGATGGGGTGGGCAAAGGTTTCGGGGTGTGGGGAGGAGAAAAGGAAGGGGTGCTTGGGGGTGCATGTGTGTATCTTTGACTCGAGGGGTGTGTGCGCTGCGTGCGTTGCTGTTGCGTTGCTGTTGTATGCATGCAAGGACACTGGGAATGGAGGATGGACACTGCAAGGACACTGGGAATGGAGGATGGACATGCAGAGCAGAGCAGCCATCCTCCATACCTCTCCTTTCCGGCTTTCCCCTTCCCCCTTCCCTTTCACTTCCCCACTTCCCTTTCACTTCCCCACTTCCCTTTCACTTCCCCTTCCCTGTCAACAGTGCCAGCAGGACATAGAGGACGTGCGGAAGGAGGTAGCTTAAAGAAGATGGAGATGCTCAGAGAAGGGGCACCTTAAACACTTCTTCTTCCTTCTTCGCCTTATCCCGTCCCTTCCCCGTCGCTTCCCCTTCCCTTGCCCTTCCCTGTCAACAGTGCCAGCAGGACATAGAGGACGTGAGGAGGGAGGTGGCGGTGATGGAGATGCTCAAGGGGCATTCTTCATACATGCATCTCCTTTCCTATACCCATCCACACCCTCTCCCCATCACCCTCCCCTTCCTCCCAACAGTGCCAGAAGGACATAGAGGACGCGCAGGGAGGTGGCGGTGATGGAGATGAAACGCTGAGAGAAGGGGCACCTTCAACACCTCTCCTTCCCCATCACTCACCACTCTCCCCTTTCTCCCGTCCCCCCTTCCTCCTTACCTGCTTCATTTCCGCAGAGCCAGCAGGACATAGAGGACGTGCGGAGGGAGGTGGCGGTGATGGGCATACCTTCCCTTCCCCATTCCCCATTCTTCTTTTCCCCTTCCCCCGTCCCCCTTACCCCTTCTTGTCAACTTCCCCTTCCCTCCCAACAGTGTCAGCAGGACATAGAGGACGTGAGGAGGGAGGTGGCGGTGATGGAGATGCTCAAGGGGCATCCCAGCATTGTCAACCTGCGCCACGCGTTTGAGGACGCTCAGGTGAGGAAAAGGGGGGGCGTGAAGGGACAGACAGGGGGAGAGGGATATGCAGGGGAAGGGAGGCCGGAAGTTGACGGCTCAGGTCAGGTTCTTCCTAACCACCCCTCACCACCCCTCACCACCCCACCACCCCTCACCACCCCACCACTCCTCCGTACCACCCCCCACCACTCTGTACCACCCTCCCAGGACGTAGATCTGGTCATGGAGCCGTGCGAGGGTGGGAGCTCATACATGCAACCCCACACCATCTCTCACCACTCCGAACCACCCCACCCCACCCCATCCCCACCGCACCCCACCACCACAGGACGTGCATCTGATCATGGAGCTGTGCGAGGGCGGCGAGCTGTTCGACCGCATCAAGCTGCGCGGAAAGTTCCCGGAAGGCGACGCGGCGAGGGTGGTTCGCACGGTAGTGCTGGTGCTGCGGCACTGCCATGGGGCCGGCATCATGCACCGCGACTTAAAGCCCGAGAACATCCTGTTGGTCTCGAATCAAAGCGATACCGATCTGAAAGTCATTGACTGGGGTGTCGCTACCTTCTTCCAGAAAGGTGAGCTCTCTCTCTTGGTGATGGTAATGGTGGTGGTGCTGCTGCTGCTGCATTCTTCCAGAAAGGTGAGCTCTCTCTCTTGGTGATGGTAATGGTGGTGGTGGTGCTGCTGCTGCATTCTTCCAGAAAGGTGAGCTCTCCTGGTGGTGTCGGTCGGCTGATTGGGTGTTGCGGGGTGGTGGCTTCTGTCTGTCGGCCCCACTCGTGGCGAGGGTGGTTCGCACGGTGGTGCTGGTGCTGCGGCACTGCCATGGGGCGGGCATCATGCACCGCGAGTTAAAGCCCGAGAACATCCTGCTTGTGTCGAACCAGAGCGACACGGACCTGAAAGTTATCGGCTGGGGTGTTGCGACCTTCTTCCAAAAAGGTGAGCTTTCTTGGCTGGTAGTTCGGCACATTAGCACTTCTGTGCTCTGTCAACCCTGCTGGTTCTGGTGGTTCGCACGGTAGTGCTGGTGCTGCGGCACTGCCACGGCGCCGGCATCATGCGCCGCGACTTAAAGCCCGAGAACATCCTGTTGGTCTCGAGCCAGAGCGACACGGACCTGAAAGTTATCGACTGGGGTGTTGCGACCTTCTTCCAAAAAGGTGAGCTTTCTTGGCTGGTAGTTCGGCACATTAGCACTTCTGTGCTCTGTCAACCCTGCTGGTTCTGGTGGTTCGCACGGTAGTGCTGGTGCTGCGGCACTGCCACGGCGCCGGCATCATGCGCCGCGACTTAAAGCCCGAGAACATCCTGTTGGTCTCGAGCCAGAGCGACACGGATTTGAAGGTCATTGACTGGGGTGTTGCGACCTTCTTCCAAAAAGGTGAGCTTTCTTGGCTGGTAGTTCGGCACATTAGCACTTCTGTGCTCTGTCAACCCTGCTGGTTCTGGTGGTTCGCACGGTAGTGCTGGTGCTGCGGCACTGCCACGGCGCCGGCATCATGCGCCGCGACTTAAAGCCCGAGAACATCCTGTTGGTCTCGAGCCAGAGCGACACGGATTTGAAGGTCATTGACTGGGGTGTTGCGACCTTCTTCCAAAAAGGTGAGCTTTCTTGGCTGGTAGTTCGGCACATTAGCACTTCTGTGCTCTGTCAACCCTGCTGGTTCTGGTGGTTCGCACGGTAGTGCTGGTGCTGCGGCACTGCCACGGCGCCGGCATCATGCGCCGCGACTTAAAGCCCGAGAACATCCTGTTGGTCTCGAGCCAGAGCGACACGGATTTGAAGGTCATTGACTGGGGTGTTGCGACCTTCTTCCAAAAAGGTGAGCTTTCTTGGCTGGTAGTTCGGCACATTAGCACTTCTGTGCTCTGTCAACCCTGCTGGTTCTGGTGGTTCGCACGGTAGTGCTGGTGCTGCGGCACTGCCACGGCGCCGGCATCATGCGCCGCGACTTAAAGCCCGAGAACATCCTGTTGGTCTCGAGCCAGAGCGACACGGATTTGAAGGTCATTGACTGGGGTGTTGCGACCTTCTTCCAAAAAGGTGAGCTTTCTTGGCTGGTAGTTCGGCACATTAGCACTTCTGTGCTCTGTCAACCCTGCTGGTTCTGGTGGTTCGCACGGTAGTGCTGGTGCTGCGGCACTGCCACGGCGCCGGCATCATGCGCCGCGACTTAAAGCCCGAGAACATCCTGTTGGTCTCGAGCCAGAGCGACACGGATTTGAAGGTCATTGACTGGGGTGTCCCTGAGAATGCTTGTGAGGCTTCCCAAAAGTCATTGACTGGGGCGTTGCTGCCTTCTTCCAGAAAGGTGAGCTCTCTTCTGTCCGCCCCGGTGCTGGTGCTGCAGCACTCAATCTATTCCGCTCCGGTGGTGGTGGTGGTGCGATTTTTGACAATTTTGAAGAATCATCGCACACAATGGCTAGTTCTGCTGCACTCAATATATTCCTCTCTTTTCCTGTGGTCATCCGTGGTGCTGCGGCACTGCCACGGGCCCACCCCGGCATCATGCATGCACTGCGACTTAAAGCTCGCTTTCTCTCCCCCCACCCCACTCACACCGCCTCCTTCCCCCCTGGCAAGCCATGCACGGGCATGGCGAGCGGGCAGGCAGCCCTGCTACCTGGCAGGAACCGTCATTGCTCCTCGATCTCAAAACCTCCTACCCCCCCAAACACCCCCTCTTTCGTAAAAATTCTCCCCCCCTCTTCCTTTGAGGCGCCTCAAAAGTAACCTTCTACCCCCAAACACCCCTTCTTTCGCCAAGATTCCCCCCCCCCCTCTTCCCCTCCACCTGGCAAGCCGTGCACGGACATGGCAGGCAACCCCTTCTACCTCGCACCAGAGGTCCTGGCTGAAAAGTACGGCCCTGAAGCGGACATTTGGAGCGCGGGGGTGGTGCTGTACATCCTGCTGTGTGGCCTGCCGCCCTTCTGGGGCACCACCCACCAACGATGCCATCCTTGAGGCACCGCCCACCAGCAGTACCACCCTTGAGATGCTTCAATTCCTTCCTTTCCCCTCCCTCTCTCTCTCTCTCCCCCAATTTCCCAGGCAAGCCGTGCACGGATATGGCAGGGAGCCCGTATTACCTGGCGCCAGAAGTTTTAGCAGAGAAGTATGGTCCAGAGGCAGACATCTGGAGCGCGGGGGTGGTGCTCTACATCCTGCTGTGCGGCCTGCCGCCCTTCTGGGGCACCACCAACGACGCCATCTTCGAGGCGATCAAGAATGCCACGCTGAACCTTGTGAGGCCTCCGTGGCCGTCGATCTCGGACGAGGCCAAGGATCTTGTGGTCAGGATGCTCACGCGGAACCCCAAGAAGAGGATCACCGCGGAAGAGATTCTTGGTAGGTGTGAGACTTGGTGAGGGAATGTTTATCCTTATGAATGACGGTTTATTCCAATGTTGAAGTGTTCGTTTCTGTTTTCTTTATTTCTTTCTGTTTTGCTTTCTTTCTCCTTTTTTTTTTTTTCCTTTTTTTTCTTCCCAGGAATCAACATGCTTGTTTCTCTTTTCAAGTGTTCATTTGCATGAATGTCCATGTCAACGACTTCATTAGATTTATTGAATTCCCATTCATCTCAATGAGTGACAAAAGATTCCCATGCTCATTTCAAATTCATGTGCACTCATCCACATGCATGTATCTCTATCTAAGTGCATATTGACATGCATCCATGACAATGCATCTGTATGCGAGTGAAAATTGTTGGTTGATCACCCTCATGCACAGAATCCCTCACCATCCCTTGTTGTCTCAACCCGTCATTGTCACCACCCCTCATTGTCACCATCCCTCCAATCCTTCCAGAACACCCGTGGATTCGCGCCAACACCAGCTGACCGCAGCTGCTCAGTCAAGACTCTAGTTGATGCGCAGTTACCAGTGGTTACCAGCTGACCTTGGTTACAGAATCTTGACAAATCAGCATGCCATAGGATTGGTTAGCATGAACGACTGGTCTCCCTCAGCAGCAGGTGCTACTGCCAGTGCCTCCGCACCGCAACAGCATCTTCAGGGTTTGGTTGAAACGGCTCAAGGGTTGGCTTGGTTTGGCTGAGCATGCAAGTGCGTCCAGAAGGCTTTAGCAGAGCGGTTCGTTCTTTATTGAGATGTTCTTCATTGGGCTGGCTGACATGTGGGGCTCAGTCTTACACACCCCCTTACCCCTCCTCCCTTCACCCTCGCTTCCCTCCCAGCCCAGTGCAATTTCCTGATCTTGTCACATTCATGAAGGGTTTAGATTAGATGGTGCAATAACGGGTAAAGAAGATACTGTATTCCTCCTGCTTTTAGCTTGGGTCCGGGGGAAGCAGTTACAGGAGTGAGGGTACATTCCTGTGTGGACACAAGTGTCTCGATGCCCTTTTTCCCGAGTTGCCCCCGTGAAACATTTAAAGCTCCGGTATACATTTGACAGGAGGGGTTCAAGATCTTAGGAGCTTGAAAAGTTACCCCAAGACTGTGAGGCTCTGTATACAAACCCTAAACCTCGCTGTGAGGCATTACTTCCATTGTCAGCTACCCTTGCTGAATGGACCAGCTATCACACATACACCAGCAGGTGTAATATGGCTTCAGTCAGGTTTTTCTCTAATAACTCCCTACCATAGTTGTATTGACTGTAGAGAAACCCTGTTATAGATGCGCACGCTTTCAATATAGCACAAATGAATTATCGAGCTTTTGTATCCTGTGGAGACGCCTCAACAGAGGAGCGTTCCCTTGATAGCTCCTCCCATCCCACAGGGGTTCCCATTGATAGCTCCTTCAAGTCTACATATGGATAAATGCAAACATACATGTTTCAAAAATGCCCCCCTCCCATAGATTTCAGCACCTAATGATACGAGATATATAGAGACTCACAATGTAGCACAATTACGCAAGGAAATTGAGTGGGAACAGGAAGAGAAGAGGAAAGGAGGAATAACGTGAGGAGAAAAAAGGAAAGAAGAAGAAAGAAGGAAGGGAATAGGGAGAAAACGGTAGGAGGAAGAAAAACCGGGAAAAAGGAAGAAAAAACACAAGACACAACCTCAAGAAAACCCCAATAGCACACACAATTGAAACCCCATCTAACCATCCCATCAAAACACCCCAACTGCACTCCCATCGAACCAAAACCCCCCCTAAACCCACCCTCTAAACCCGCATGTCTACCACGGAGCATCCCATCCCATCTCCTCCTCAACATCCTCCCGCTCCACCCAAACAGCCTCTGGACCTCTCATCATCGACGCTGCCATGGCAGGCTGTGGTGTGGTCATGGTCCACTGAACCCCCTTTATTGAATGAAATGGATTATCTTAAAATGCTCATAAAGCAGCAGATATGAACACACGCATCACATAAACAAAGCAGATTTACACGGTGTGCTGTAAAGGAGAAAAGCCTCCATGAAAATCGCACACCAGAAAGAAATCCCATTAAACACCCAGCAACCCCCATCCCCCAAGGGGATGGGCGTTTTCCACCACCGCTCTGCCATGGAAAATATATATCCAGCGTTCCTGCCTGGGATCACGCCTAAATTAATACCCAGAAATTAAATGGCTGTCAGATCGCACTCGCTCCCCACTTGCGACATTTGTCTGAAGCGCATCTTCTGATCCACCACGAAGGTGGAGCCGCACAGCTGGCCCTGGCTATCGATGTGCGGCACGGCCTTGAGCATGCGGTCCGGGTGCTCATAGCTGTTCAGGCCTGCTGCCGTGGAGAAGTAGCAACCTGGGGGAAAAAGAAAGGATAAATTGCTGTTAGAACGTTGACCGGCGTGAAGCGAAAGTAAAATTTCACAATGCGTAGTGAAACTGCGATTGCGAGGGTGTAAATGGGAGAAACATTTGCCATGGCCGCCGACTGGATGACGAAATCACGATTTCCTACCCTTGGGAAAGGGAGCGAAGGAGCGTCCACAGTTCTTCCGGAGCGTATCGCACTTATCCGAGATAGCCAGAACCGAGTCCTTGCACAGTCCCCAGTACAACGGTCGCTTCCCATACGCGTCCTGAGCGACGAACACCTTCTTCTGCTTCTGGTCGTACAGTAAGAACGAAAACGGACCCCGGAACTCTGAAAGGGCGTGTTCAACGGTGCACGGGGCTCTGTCACGGAGCGTCTTGTACACCTCGATCACGAACGCGGCCTCACAGATCCGGTACCGGGTGAGACCATACGCTACCCGCATTTGCGGGAGGTTCTCGAGGTTCCCGACGAAGGTGCAGAAAATGTCGTCGCACGAAGCAAATTGTCTGTAAGGCAGAACGTTATCGATGAAGGAACGAATTAGTTGAAGTTCGCCAACACGACGACAACGAGCGCAACCACTAACGTGCTGAAGAGATGGAAGATATGCAACGACATCGAGGGGATTAGATAACGCGGTTGTTATTACCTGCCGCCATCCCCTGTGAAGGCAATCTCAAGGTTGTCATCAAAGTGCAGCACTGTAGCAGCAGAATTGCTCTTCAGAAAATCTCCGACAGCGGCACCTCCCGAGTGAACGTTAGCCGGGTCTGCTGCGTCCGCGAGAGCGCACTGAAGCTCGGGCTGGCTGGGAGCCACACCCTTGTGGAAGATGGCAAACATGGTGTTAGGATTTGTAATCGACCACGGATCAGCCTTCAACGTGAATTACGTAGGCTCAGATCAAGCCTGACGTTGCGTCAGTGCCTGGGAAGGTCCTGGCTTCGCTTGCTCCGCACGAACAGAGGACGTTCTGATGTGAGCAGAGCAGCGGGAGGTTTCAGAACCGAAACGGTTTCAGCTTGACTGAATGTGAACCTCCGTTTCCAGCTGAAGACTGACAGAAATAAATGGAAGAAGCAATGGGACCTCGATTGTGGATTGCTGACAGAAAAAGAATGGAATATAAATGACGCGAAGACACCACTCCTTAGTGGGAGACTCAGCCGGAGGGAGTCGAAAACACCGCGGCGCGCGTCATTCGGCCCATACAGGTCACTAGGAGCAATCTGTGCCGCAGCCGCGAGTCAATCTGCCAAAACTTTTCCCGTGTGCTTGAGCAAGGGGGTTAGGGATGGACGGTTCGGGACGAGGTTAGGGGAAGGTCGATGAGGGCGTGCTCTTTCAAAAATCGGGGTTCGAGGAACGCGATTTTTGACGGTCAAGATGCGGAGTTGGCAGCTGAAAGCTGACGTGACACGATAATGGCTGTCGATTGAAGGCTACCCGAAAGGCTAACCGGTCGCGAGAGGTAACGATGTCTCGGAAGCGAGAGCGGGGAAGACGTTGTAGGCTCGTAGGCTTGGGGTGGTCAGGCGACGATGGATTGCCACGCATTTGCCATCCTGTCCCGCTTGCAGCCAATAGCAGGACGACCGCCTCGTCTGGCACGTACAGATGCATCATCCTAGGAAGGGCTGGATGATGAGTCGGTGATGCGCTGTATGGGATCAAATGCACTGATTTGGGGGTCCCGCGACTCGGTAAATTATCAGCTCTGCTGAAAACGAGTCATGCGAGTAGCATTCTGGCGTGGCACGCTTGAGATATACAGGTGCTTTGCATCTGCCAGCAAGGTGGTGACTAGGCAGTTGGCCCTTTGGGCTTTCGCACGCGTGTAACTAGCTATGCTGTTGCGGTCTGTTTGGACAACCTCCACATGTAGATTCCCCCTGACCTGGACGTGGGCGATTCCGTGTCACGTTTAGCGTGGCAGTGACCGCTTTGATATCAGGAAAACAGTGTTTCGGAAGTAGTAGAGCTGTAGCGAGTAATTCTTCTCTACATCCATACCCTTTTGAATAGATTATCTATCTATTTTGGCTCAACAAATATTTTTAACCCATATCTATATTAAGCCTAATCATGCTTCAACAGCTTAGTTTCTAGTGCAATGAAACCTTTACGACCAGAGGATGGTTCCTAGCAGGATTGTAAAGAGTGATCAAACTTATAGAGCATTGGGTTGGAAGTGTTTGTGGGAGATATGTTTGTGTGCTAAACACATCAGGTTGAACATTTATCTGTCAACCAAGGCAAAGCAACCATCCCAGCCATCAGGTTACAATACAAGGCTATGAAACCAACAAGGACTTTATATCCCACTCCAAATTCGCCCTATGGCGCGCGTGTCTACAGGAATTTCTGGGTTGCAATGCTTCGGGACATAAGTTGACGTTAGGCGTTGCGAGAAGAATGCCGCGGAATGGGAAAACCCCGAGTGAGATAATATAAGAATATCACTCGACGCTAGAAGCAGCCAATCTACGACAATATCAATGTAGGTCGACGCTCCCTTTGCCATGGTACCTTGTGCTGACGAGGATGACGAGGGATCTGTATCTGACGTGCTTACAGTGGGTGTCAGAATGTTGGCATGTAAAGGGACGATGTCTGAAATCACCACCTGTGACATTAACGGGATTGAATGTAGAGAAGAGAGAGACATCTGGAAATAAGTGGGGTTCTGAACATGGCATGTTGCAAGATTTTGTGCAAGAACGGCTTTTGAGGCACCTCAAAAGTTATGTGCAAGAATTGAACATGTCTTCAAGTCGACAAAAGGCAATTTGGCTTACTAAGACACACTAGGTTAAATATATTGAGAAGTTAAGTGCAAGAGCCGAACCTGTCTTGCAACCAAGCGGGGACTACGAGTCGACTCAAAGGCCATCTCAATTATTTTGGGTTGTTTCCTGACTCGGCTCAGTAGCCACCTAAAAAAAAATCTCAAACCAACTTAGAAGAGGGACAGAAAGACACACCTCGTGAGGGTGCTTTATTTGAAGAGCTATTTTGAGCTCGTGCGAGTTGCATTAGAGGAAGACTCAGAAGTCACCAAACTACAACCTTTAGGGCACAAAGAGGAGGGAGAGAATGACACACCTTGTGAGGGAACTTGAGCTGAAGAGCTGTCTTGAGCTCGTGAGAATCGCCACCGAGGAAGACTCAAAAGTCACCTAATTTAAAACCTTCAGGGCGATCAGAGGAGGGAGAGAATCAAGCACAAACCTTTTGAGGGAACTTGAGCCGGAGAGCTGTTTTGAGCTCGTGAGAGTTGCTGATGACAAGCCACCGAACGATGGTGGGAGCGGGCATCCACCACGTCTGCAGCTTCTGCAGAGAGAGAGAGAGCATGATGCAGGGGAAGCGATGGGGAAAGCACAACAGGTGTGTGGGGGCCAGCAAAAAGTTGGCTCAAAGCACATGTGGTGGGTGGGGTGGGAGAGAGCATCCACCACAACGTCTCCAGCTTCCACAGGGAACACAGGGGCACGGAGAAAAGAAATAATGGCAGGGTAGATTGTGGCACAGCAACGAAGAGGCACAGGAACGAAGAGGCACAGGAGAAAGAGAGAAAAAAGAGGGTATAGGGAGGAAAACAAAGGGTTACTGGTGACTTCTGATAAAGCCCTTATTTGAATGTAAAACTTGCGTCCTCAACATACATACTGTCCTTCGTATGAGGTTGCTGCATATTGTTCAAACAGCAACCTTTTCAAGGTGCCTAAAAAATTGCCCCGACCTTTTTGAAGTCGCAGTTTTTGTTCAGATAGCAAAATCTTTAAACCCTAGTCCCACATGCACTCTAGCCCTCAGCCCATGCCATGTGCCCCCCTCTGGGTGTGGTGCTTTAGTTTTGAGCTGAGTCTAAACTAAACCCCACAAAACCCCAACCCCTCACCGCACCCACCCACCTGCGCACATGCAATGTAGTCTTCAGCCCACGCCATGAGCTTTTCCTTATCCGTCTCACTCATTGCCTTGGGATCCCCAAACCCCTGCTGCCCCTGCCACACGAACTTGTCTGAAGCTCTCATGTGTATCCCAATCACCGCCACCCTATGGCCCGTGAGACCATGTGCCGCCGCCCCATGTGAATGCCCATGTGAGAATACATGTGATGCGGCATGGGAGTTGCGCGAATGGCTAGTGGTGAGAGGTTGGAGGGGGGCGGAGGGAGAGGAGGAGGAGGAGGAGGAGGAGGAGGAGGAGGAGGAGGAGGAGGAGGAGGAGGAGGAGGAGGAGGAGGAGGAGGAGGAGGAGGAGGAGGAGTTGAGAGGGGCGAGCAGTTGATGGTACATGGCTTGGAGTTTTGATATTACTTCTGGTTGCGGCCTGGTGTGGGGGAGGAGGAAGAACGGGGGGGATGGGGAGGGCATGTGTGATCTTCACAGGCCGGACCAAACACACAGTGAGCAGTTGATGGTACATGGCTTGGAGTTTTGATATTACTTCTGGTTGCGGCCTGGTGTGGGGGAGAGGGATCGGGAGAAGATGGAGAGGAGGGAGAGGGGTGGAGAGGGGTGGAGAGGTGCGGGGGAGAAGCGAAGGATGCATGCAGCCAAAGGCAAAGGCGTAGGGAGGGCGAATGTGAAGGCAAGCGCATGTAACAGAACACTATGGTGGTGTTGAGGCAGAATCAGCTGCTGGTGTCACACGTGTAACAAAAGCATAGGAACGTACTTGAGAAGGAATCGCAGGATGCAGCCAAAGGCGTAGGGAGGGCGTATGCCTAAAGCGTGCAGGCTGGAAGTCCATTTCTTCCCCACCGCCTGTGGGGGAGCAAGTGGTACAGAGCACATGAGCAGAGGAGCACAGGAGTGCATGAGCGCATGAGCACTATCAATCAGGAGTGTTTTGAGTTGACTCAAAACACGCCTGTACAGAGCACAGGAGCACAGGAGCACAGGAGTGCATGAGCACAGGAGTGCATGAGCACAGGAGCACAGGAGCACAGGAGTGCATGAGCACAGGAGCACAGGAGCACTATCAATCGGGAGGGCAAACGCGTAGGGAGGGCGTATGCCTAAAGCGTGCAGGCTGGAAGCCCATTTCTTCCCCACCGCCTGCAGGGGCGGAAGGTGAGGTGGGATAAAGAGTACGGGAGCACACAAGCGCACAATGAGCACACGAGCAGATGAGCACAATAGTCAGGCAGGGCGCATGCCTACTGCGTGCAGGCCGGCAGTCCATCTCTTCCCCTCCCCGCTGCCTGTGGGCACGGAGGCGAGGTGGGCGAGCACCTGGAACAACAACTAGATTGGGCGAGCCTGGATCTGATGCATTCAGGGGTTTAGTATGTTTAGGATTCAGCGCTTTAGGGTTTAGGATTTCAGGTGTGTAAAACTCATTAAAAGGGGAACCCTATGCAGCATGTTCATTGCCCCATGCAGCACGCCAAAGCACCCCTCTGGCTCCACAAACCGGCTCCTCAGATTCACCAAGCTGCCAGGGTCCCGCTGTGCTGAGATGAGATGTCTCAGAAACACCTAGCATAAATCCTCCTCACCTGGGCGACCAACCGCTCCCCCTCACCTGAGCGAGCAGGTACGTGAGCAGCCCTCTGTTCCAGGACATGCGGACATTTATTGCCCTATCCAGCACTGCAAAGAACTCCTCTGGTTCCACAAACCGATTCCTCAGATTCACTATCACCACCTCCCCCTCCTGCACCAACTCTCCCTTCCCTCCTCCTCCCCCTCCTCCTCCCGCTCTTCCTCCCGCTCCCCCTCCTCCCCCTCCTTCTCCTCCCTTCTCTCCCACTCTCGCCAGTACTTCATCAACCGTCAGCCCCCGAGCCGGCTCATAAGGCACGTCCGGCGAGAACGACCAATCAACGAGGTTCGGCGCGAACGCAAGCGGGAGGTACGGGTGCCGGACGATGAAGGCTCGGCGCGTGAGGAGCGCGCAGGCAAACGCCGTGGCAAACCCAGTGATATAATCCCCCAAGCCTCCAGGCTCGTCAAGCCATTCAAAGGTTAGGAAGCGAATGGAGGGGTCTAAACGGGGCTGGGGGTAAGGGGTTGGGGGAGGAGGGGATGGAGGAGGGAGGGACGGGGGTGCTGGTGATGATGGTGATGGTGGTGGCGGTGGTGGTGGTGCTGTTGCTGCAGCACCACCAGCAACAGCGGCTGCTGCGGCGGCAGCATTGGCGGCGGCGGCGGCGGTCTGGGCGAGGATGGCGGTGTGGGAGCGGGCAGTTTTGCGGATGCGCGCGTGCAGGGCAGTGTAGTCAGTCGCCCAGGTGCCACAGAGGGCGTCTGAGAAGGAGACGTCGAGGAAGGGCGCGAGGGGGGAGGAGGCGGACGATGGGAGCTGGTGGGAAGGGGAGGGGAAAGAGGGGAAGAAGGGGAACGGAATGAAAGGTGCAGGGCGGCATAGTCTGTCGCCCAGGTGCCGCAGAGGGCGTCTGAGAAGGAGACAACGAGGAAGGGCGCGAGGGGGGAGGCGGACGCTTGCGGTGCAGGCGGAAGCTGGGGGAAGGTGGAGGGGGAGGGGGGAAAGGGGGGGGGGATAGATGAGGGGAAAAGGAGTGGAAGGGTGCAGGGCAGCGTAGTCTGTCGATCAGGTGCCACAGAGGGCGTGTGAGAAGGAGACGTCAAGGAAGGGCGCGAGGGGGGAGGTGGACGCATGCAGGGGGGGCGAAAGCTGTTGAAGGGGGAAAGGGGTGGGGAAAGGAAGGAAAGAAAAGGGTGCAGGGCGGCATAGTCAGTGGACCCGGTGCCACAGAGGGCGTCTGAGAAAGAGATGTCGAGGAAGGGCGCGAGGGGAGAGGCGGGTGCATGCAGGTGGGACGGGAGCTGTTTGTATGGGGAAGGAGGGAGAGGAAGAGGGAGGGGAGGGGGGGGTGTGGGGGAGGAGAAAAGGTGGGGGGAAAATGGGTGCAGGAAGGCATAGCGAGTCACCCAAGTGCCACAGAGGGCGTCTGAGAAGGAGACATCGAGAAAGGGCGCAAAGAGGGAGGCGGAGGCATGCAGGCGGAAAGGGGAGGGCGGACGGTGGAATGGGGGAAGAGGAGAAGGGGAGAAGGAAGAAGGTGGGATGGGGACAAGGGGAGAAGGGGAGGAGGAAAGGAGGTGAGGAGAGGAGAAGAGGAGATCGTGACAAGGGGAGAAGGTGAGAAGGGAAGAAGGGGGGACGGGCAGGAGAGGGGGAAGAGGTGATGGGTTACCAAGGAACGGTTGGAGGTGGTGGATGAACATAAATAGGTGAGCATAAATAGGTTCGAGGGGGAATGGGTGGTCTCAAGAAGTAAGGTGCGAATCCAGCCCAATGAAGGAGACTTGATCACTTAAGAAACAAGGCTCACCACATTTAAAGAATAAATCGTATTATGGAGCATAATTCACTGATCCTCAAAACGATTTCGAGGCAATCCAGATCATTCTAAAGCCCGGATTGAATTCGGATCACTCTGTCTAAGGGGTTTTATACGCTGTCTGAGCCGTTTCCTACTTTGTTTGAAACGTTTGAGACTGTATGAAGCGTTTCATACTCTGTCTGAAGCGTTTCATACTCTGTCTGAAGCGTTTCATACTCTGTCTGAGCCGTTTCATACTCCGTCTGAGCCCTTACATACTCTGTCTGAGCCGTTTCATACTCTGTCTGACCCGTTTCATGCTCTGTCTGACCCGTTTCATGCCGAGCCGAGTAAAAAGTCATTTGGGTGGCAAGCCGAGTCTATGTATGGAACAGGACTCTCAAAGAAGGCGATCCCACAAACAACAGTACACGAGGCTGCAGACGCGATTACAACGAAGGTTGAGCCTTCATAAACAAGCTCAACAACCACCTTGGACACGTTAAGAGACTTGAAGTCATCCCCTCTCGTCAAACGGTCCTTTGGATTAGTACGGTCCTCTTCCGCCCCCCTCTCCCGCCCCACCAGAAAGTTGTTTCGAAGGGTCCGACCCACCAGAGTCTGGAATGGGAGGAATCTCAAAGAAGGCGAGAGACGCAAAGCGACTTTCGCCGACTCGCGACGGTCCTAAACTTGCCAAAAGCTAGTTTTAAAAGCCCTCCTGTGTGCGGAATGAGCGGACTCACAAAGGTTAGGGCGAGCAAGAGGGCGTAAGTGAGCGCATCACGCTGTCTCCGTGTATTATTATTATTTTTTTTTTTGAGGCGCCTCAAGTAAGAGCCTCCTGTGTGTGGAATGAGCGGACTCACAAATGCTAGGGCGAGCAAGAGGGCGTAAGTGAGCGCATCACGCTGTCTCCGTTTCCTCCACGGCCTCGTATTTTGAGACGTCTCAGAAGTCGCAGGTTGCATCCATCGCCGTTTTCGGAGAGTCGTTTGAGACGTCTCAACGGTCACATGATTTCGATGCTGTCTCCGTGCACCCGCAGTACTATTAGTAGTACGCTGCGGGTCCACACCCGTGCGCTGCTTCGCTCCCAGCGTTCGCTGTTTCCCGCACATCCACTGTCCCCCCTCGACCGTCGCATAACGAGCCGCACCTAGCAAGCTACTCCTGCTGATTCTTAAAGCCGGCATCGGCGGCTGCATCGTCGTCGCCAAGGAGTGGTAGTAGCGACCATGCATTCGCGGCCCGCTTAGTAAGAGCCGACTAATATCGAGGCGCCTCAAAAGACGGCTGCATTGTCGTCGCCAAGGAGTGGTAGTAGAATAGGGACCATACAGTCGCGCTGAAGAGAGATGACTGATATCGAGGCGCCTCAAAAAGGCGGATGCGTCGTCCTCGCCAAAGGAAATGGAGGCTGCAGTCGCGCATAGATCCGCAGCTCTGGGGCTAATATCGTGATAAGCTTGAAAGATTACACCATACATGAAAGAATCGGAAGTTCACAAAAGCTAATCGCAGTGTACAGATTATTCGACTTTCCGATGTCATTTTCTGTCAATGGTCGTCGGATTGACAGTCAAGGATGACTATGAGGTGTGGGTGTCATGTCATGGCAGGTCATCGTCAGTCCCTTGACTGAACAACACGATTGACAACATTGGACATGACATCCATCCACACCTCCAAGGCGGACAGTTCTTGTTTCTGTAACCGATTCTCAAAAATCCGTTGGCCGGTAAGCCATGCAAACCGTGCTTTGCCTTCATCATGCACGCGTGATCGTATGGGAGGAATCTTATTCCACAGTAGCCCAAGTGGATGGAGCCGTGGGATGACGGAACGTGGGAAAGAGCGTTTGAAGCACTGTAGCTTGGCGCAAGTGAGGAAGAAGAGCAAGGAAAGAAAGGACGGCAAGTTTCCAGCCAGAATGCTAGAGCTCACTGAACGACTTGACCTGACCTCAGCAAGCAAGGGCTATGTAGAATTT